AAAAAAATGCATTTTCAACACGCAGTGTATATATATATATATAAGACATTAAACCATGCGGATATCTACAGAAGACCTTGCCCAGTATGGTGATGAAACACTCAGTCAGTCGCAGTAAGACATTTGAATGGTGTCATATCAGTGGAGACATGTGGACTTACTGCCACCAAAACATTTTTTTTTTTTTTGTTTTAATTTTTGAACAATCTGCAGGTAAAGAGTATGGCAAGTGTTTCCTGGGACAAACGTGAGCGTTATTCATGTGATTTCCTACCCCGTGGTATCAACAACGAAAATATTACTATTAGTGTGTTCTAAGTGATGTGCATACAAGTCTTCAGAAAAAAAACGGTCTGGTTTTGATCGCTAAGGGCGTCCTGTTTCTCCAGGACACAACGCACGAACTCATACTGCTTTTTCCGTGCACATTACAGCAACTCGGCTGGGAGTATTACTACATGCCCCCTTAACAGCCCGGACATCGCAGTGGATTTCACCTGTTTGCACCCCTAAAAGAGTTCCTTGAAGGCCAGCATTTCAGCACTGATGAGGATAGTGAAGCTGACTGTCCTACGATGGTTCAGATGTACTGTACAAATCTTTCTCTGCTGAAGCTTTCGAACCATTAGTTAAACACTGGGATAAAGTAGCAGGGGAGTATGTCAAACAATATACATTATATTGCTAAAAGTATTGGCCTCCCCACTCTCCAAATCATGTGATTTCAGGTGCTCCAATCCCCTCCATGGACACAGGTTGTTGTATACTCTGATCATCCCCTAAGGCATGCAGACCGGCTTCTACAAACAATTGGTGAAAGAATGGGTCGCTCTCAGGAGCTCAGTGACTCCAAGCGTGGTCCCGTGATAGGTGGCCACCTGGGCAATAAAGTCCATCCGTGACATTTCCTGGCTACTAAATATTCCACGCTCAACTGTTAGTGGGATTATAACAAAATGGAAGCAACTGGGAACAACAGCCACTCCATCTCAGCCACACCAAGTGGTAGGCCACGTCTCATGACAGGGCGGGGTCAGCGCATGCTGAAGCGCACAGTGTGCAGAAGTGTCCGCCAATAGTCTGCAGAGTCAATAGCTAAAGAAGTGACCTCCAAACTTGGTGTGGCCTTCAGATGAGCCCAACAACAGTGTGTAGAGAGCTTCATGGAATGGGTTTTTTCCATGGCCGAGCAGCTGCAGATCCAAGCCTTACATCACCAAGTGCAAATGCAAAGCATCGTGGTTGTAAAGCACACCGCCACTGGACTCTAGCACGCAGTGGAGACGTGTTCTCTGGAGTGACCAATCACGCTTCTCTGTCTGGCAGTCAGATGGACGTGTCTGGGTTTAGGCAGTTGCCAGAATGGTACTTGCCTGACTGCATTGAGCCAAGTGTAAAGTTTGGTGGAGGGGGATTATGGTGTGGGGTTGTTCTTCAGGGGTTGGGCTTGGCCCCCTACTTCCAGTGAAGGGAACTCTTAAGGCGTCAGCATATCAAGACATTTTGGACAATTTTCATGCTCCCCAACTTTGTGGGAAGAGAGAGTTTTGGGATGGCACCTTCCTGTTTCCAACATGACCTGCCCCACCAGTGCACAAAGCAAGTCCATAAAGACATGGAGGAGCAGCCAGTTTTGGCGTGGAGGAACTTGACTGGACCTGCACAGAGTCCTGACCTCAACCCCATAGAACACACCTTTGGGATGAATTTAGAGCGGAGAACTGTGAGCCAGGCCTCCTCCCCCTGACATCAGTGCCTGACCTGACAAATGTGCTTCTGGAAGAATGGTACCAACCTTCCCATAGACACCCTCCTAAACCTTGTGGACGGCCTTCCCAGAAGAGTTGAAGCTGTTATAGCTGCAAAGGGCGTGGGCCAACTCAATATTGAAACCCTATGGACTAAAACTGGGGGGGCCATTAAAGTTCATGTGTGTAGAAAGGCCGGCGGCCCAATTCTTTATGGCAATATAATGTAAATGCTTCCACTCCTTGAGGCTTCTTCTGTTATTATATAAACTCAGAAGTCCCGGTTTGACTTGAACACCCCTCATATATTATCCATCTGTATACACTGTAGCATGTTTTCCATATTCTGGCCTTTTTATCTTTCAGGAGCATACTATATTACAGCAACTTGCAGGAGAACATCAACAGCCTGGCCCAGAAGCTAGAGAAACATGGACGGGCAGAGAGTCGTGGCACATCCAAAACCGGAGGAAACACCTTAACAGAATGTGAGCAGTGGAGCAATAAGGAGGTGGCAGGGGAGAGCAGGCAGAGGAGCCCCTCAAGGCTGACACCATGGGGAGTTACTGTACTACAGCAACGCTAGTATGAAAGATGACCTTATCCGGATCACTCAGGGTTTCATTATCAGGGCAGGGGCAGTACATGGAGGAACAGTGTAATTAGAGGAGATATAAAACCAAGCAGAAGAGCCACCACTACCCTCCTAAATAATGTGAACACTCATTGAATTAAAAACAATCGATATACAGTCAGGTCCATAAATATTGGGACATCTACACAATTCTAACATTTTTTGGCTCTATACACCACCACAATGGATTTGAAATGAAACGAACAAGATGTGCTTTAACTGCAGACTGTCAGCTTTAATTTGAGATTATTTACATCCAAATCTAGTGAACGGTGTAGGAATTACACAACAGTTTGCATATGTGCCTCTCACATTGTTAAGGGACCAAAAGTAATGGGACAGAATAATAATCATAAATCAAACTTTCACTTTTTAATACTTGGTTGCAAATCCTTTGCAGTCAATTACAGCCTGAAGTGTGGAACGCATAGACATCACCAGACGCTGGGTTTCATCCCTGGTGATGCTCTGCCAGGCTCTACTGCAACTGTCTTCAGTTTCCTGCTTGTTCTTGGGGCATTTTCCCTTCAGTTTTGTCTTCAGCAAGTGAAATGCATGCTCAATCGGATTCAGGTCAGGTGATTGACTTGGCCATTGCATAACATTCCACTTCTTTCCCTTAAAAAACTCTTTGGTTGCTTTTGCAGTCTGCTTTGAATGTCATTGTCCATCTGCACTGTGAAGCGTCCAATGAGTTCTGAAGCATTTGGCTGAATATGAGCAGATAATATTCCCGAAACACTTCACATTTCATCCGGCTGCTTTTGCCAGCAGTCACATCATCAATAAATACAAGAGAAGCAGTTCCATTGGCAGCCATACATGCCCACACCATGACACTACCACCACCATGCTTCCCTGATGAGGTGGTATGCTTAGGATCATGAGCAGTTCCTTTCTTCTCCATACTCTTCTCTTCCCATCACTCTGGTACAAGTTGATGTCGGTCTCATCTGTCCATAGGATGTTGTTCCAGAACTGTGAAGGCTTTTTTACATGTCATTTGGCAAACTCTAATCTGGCCTTCCTGTTTTTGAGGCTCACCAATGGTTTCCATCTTGTGGGGAACCCTCTGTATTCACTCTGGTGAAGTCTTCTCTTGATTGTTGACTTTGACACACATACACCTACCTCCTGGAGAGTGTTCTTGATCTGGCCAACTGTTGTGAAGGGTGTTTTCTTCACCAGGGAAAGAATTCTTCGCTCATCCACCACAATTGTTTTCCGTGGTCTTCCGGGTCTTTTGGTGTTCTGAGCTCACCGGTGCGTTCCTTCTTTTTAAGAATGTTCCAAACAGTTGTTTTGGCCACGCCTAATGTTTTTGCTATCTCTCTGATGGGTTTGTTTTGTTTTTTCAGCCTAATGATGGCTTCACTGATAGTGACAGCTCTTTGGATCTCATCTTGAGAGTTGACAGCAACAGATTCCAAATGCAAATAGCACACTTGAAATGAACTCTGGACCTTTTATGTGCTCATTGTAATTGGGATAATGAGGGAATAACACACACCTGGCCATGGAACAGCTGAGAAGCCAATTGTCCCATTACTTTTGGTCCCTTAACAAGTGGGAGGCACATATGCAAACTGTTGTAATTCCTACACCGTTCACCTGATTTGGATGTAAATACCCTCAAATTAAAGCTGACAGTCTGCAGTTAAAGCACATCTTGTTCGTTTCATTTCAAATCCATTGTGGTTGTGTATAGAGCCAAAAATGTTAGAATTGTGTCGATGTCCCAATATTTATGGACCTGACTGTATAAGGAAATAATTGCATGCATTTTTCTTTACAATAAAAAAGACACGCTGTCCATTGTATGTGTTTTTTTCTCAATGGAGAGGTCTGATGACTGACTGATTGTCTACCCTGTGTATGTTCTCCTGCAGACAGTGAGTGGGGAATCTGGTTGGTGGCTCAGGACAGTGCAAACACTTTTTTAATAAATACAGTCAATGATCTTAATTTCTCTCCTGGCAGGTGGCTGAGGCTCCAGGGCTCTCTGGATGAATATCAGAGGAGTCTACAGCTGGCCCTGGAAGGCGCCTCACTCTGGCAGCAAGCAGACACTGTCCTGAGGGCCATGCAGGAGAAGGTGAGGCTGGGACTGGGGAGACAATGGTCAGGGGTTAGTCATCCACCATATTACTCATTGTTCCCAGGATAGGTGAGGGTACAGACCGAATATTAAGGGAGGTATTGTGCCAACTTCAGAGCTTTTCATCCATACCAGCCTTTCTCAACCAGGGTTCCAAGGAACTCTAGGGGTTCCGTCAGCAATGCTCTGCTTCTTCCTCTCAGATGACTAACCACTGGCAACAATGATCTTTTTGCCTATCTGTAAGAGGAGTTTCTTCCCAATGACCACAGAAGTAAGGAGCATCCTTCCTGGTGACCATCACACTAAGATACCATGAATTCAGCCAGGGATTCTGTGAGCCATGAAAGTTATTTTAAGGGTTCTTCCATGTTAACAAAGGCTGGTCTATGCTACACAGCAAATCAGAATTCATCATCTGTGTTATAGCCAATTGTACTCCATCTATACTCAGCATCGCTGAAAGCTGCACAGATATTTCTACAAATGACATACTAAAAATCAAACTCTGTTTTTCCCCAGAAGAACGCAGCTGGTGGGCACAGCGACCAGGATCTCAGGGATATCGCTAGTCAGATCATGGTATGAGAATGTGCATCATAGATCTAGACACCTACCTCTCCTCTCCTCTCCTCTCCTCTCTTCTCTTCTCCCCTCCCCTCTCCTAAACCTCTTCCCTCTCCTCTCCTCTTCTCTCCTCTTCTCTCCTCTCCTCTCATCTCCCTTATTGCTCCTCTTTGTCCTCTCCCCTCCCTTATTTCTCCTCTCCCCTCCCTTATGTCTCCTTTCCCCTCCCTTATTTCTCCTCTCCCCTCCCTTATTTCTCCTTTTCTCCTCCTCCCTTATTTCTCCTCTCCCTCTCCCTTATTTCTCCTCTCCCTTATTTCTCCTCTCCCCTCCCTTATTTCTCCTGTCCTCTCCCTTATTTTTCTCTCTCCTCTCCCTTATTTCCTCCTCTTCCCTTATTTTCCTCTCCCCTCCCTTATTTCTCCTGTCCTCTCCTCTTCCCTTCCCCTTTTTTCCTCTCTCTGTCCTCTCCTCTCCCTTATTTCTCCTCTCTGTCCTCTCCTCTGTGTCTCCACTACCCTCCTCTCTTCTCCCCTGTCTCTCCTCTTCTTTGTCTCTGCTGTCTCCTGTCTCTCCCTTCTTCTCTTTTCCTTACCTCTCCCTTCCCTTTCTTCCCCCCTCCTCTCCTCTGTCTTTGCTGTCCTCTGTCTCTCCTCTGCCCTCCTCTCTTCTCCTCTGTCTCTTCTATTCTTTGTCTCTCCTTTCTTTCTCTCCTCTGCCTTCTTTCTTCTCTTCTGTTGCTCCTGTCCTCTTTCTCTTTTGTTCTCTGCCTCTCCGCTTTTCTCCTCTGTCTCTCCTGTCCTCTGTCTCTCCTCTGCCCTCCGCTTTTCTCCTCTGTCTCTCCTCTGCCCCCTCTCTTCTCCTCTATCTGTTCCCTGTCTCTCCTCTGCCCTCCTCTCTTCTCTTCTGTCTCACCTGTCCTCTGTCTCTCCTTATTTCTCCTTTATCTCTGCTCTCCTGTCTTTCCTGTCCTCTGTCTCTCCTCTGCCCTTCTCTCTTCTCCTCTGTCTATCCTGTCCTCTATATCTTCTATGCCCTCCTCTCTTATCCTCTGCTCGCCTCTCTTCTCCTCTGTCTCTCCTGTACTCTGTTTCTCCTCTGCCTTGCTCTCTTCTTCTTGTCTCTCCTGTCCTCTGTCTCTCCTTTGCCCTCTTCTCTTCTCCTCTGTCTTCCTCTGCCCCCCTCTCTTCTCCTCTTTATTTCCTGACCTCTGTCTCTCCACTGCCCTCCTGTCTTCTCCTCTATTTCTCCTGTCCTCTCTCTCCTGCTCTCTGTTTCCTCTTTCTCTTCTGTCCTTTCACTCTTCCCATTTGAGTCTCTTACAATCTCCTCTCACCCATCCTTCTATCATCTTTTGTCCTTCAGATGTTGGATGTCTCGGTGTCCCAGGTCTCCAGCCTCCACCCTGTTTTGGCCTCCAGAGCTTTGCACAGACAGCGGCAGGTGAAGGAGATTTGGTCTCAGCTTCAGCAGACAGTCCGGTATGGAGTCTTCTCCCTCTACCACCATCCAATGTTTTTTGTAAATTGGAACCTTGAAGTTTGATGACAGAAGTGGTAAAAGTGACAGATGTGGATATGGGGAGGGAAGGAATCCTGGGGTGGGATAATAAATAACTCACAGGGGTATAAAGAAGGGTTCCTGGCTGGGAGTATCTGCTCAACAATCAGAACAATTACCATGGACGTGTCTTGCTGTGGATCCCTCGTGTGATTTATTATTACTTATCACCATTTATCTATACTGTAATATCCATCATTTAAAAAAAATAATCTCCTTCCCTTTAGATGAGGATGGGATTGTTTGGAAGTCACCAGCAGCACGAGCCCAGGGTAGCCCCCCCAGCCTAACTGTCCTTGTCCTGCCCCTTCCATTTTTCCATAGATTTCAGTACTCTCAATCATCGAGTCTCAGCATAACTTGTGGGCATTACTTATGGTGGTCTTCATGCCAATGTAGTCTTCCAAGGAACGCCCACTCCTCCAGACTTCCATGCACCCATCAAAACATTTTGATATTTGCATAACTTCTCCCAAGAACCAGCCCACTGCTTGCATCAAGACAGAAAGCTCTTGAGAGGAGTACTGAGGCACTTCCAGCCCCTCACACTAGCTATGATCTGCCTGCATTGCAGAGAGAAGCATAGAGACCCACTGATGACATCACTGCTTCTAAAATAGGGTAACTAATGAAATCAGGTTTCATTTAAATGTTTCTCTAGTATGTTGATGAGGAGGTAAAGAAGGGACGGAAACAGCGAAATGCAAGGGATGCCTAATAATTTGTTTAATTTGTATCCAATAGGAGAAGTCCCTGTACTGTGAAGTTGTTGGTAGATGTAAAGTAGATTGTACAATCAGATTGCTGGCTTCTATAGCTGAATAGGTCTGAATATGAAACCCGGAGTACATTTGGGAGATTTCATGGTGTAATGTGAAAAGCAGCCAGAATTGTGTAGAGAAGTCAACCGGGGTTCCATGCCATCCTAGGGTTCCTCCAGAGATTGCCAGGGGTTTCTTGAGCTTTGGCTCATTGACTTTCCATTTGATGGTGCCTGCATAGTTCTGGATCAGGGGCGGACTGACCAATCGGGCATTCGGGCACTGCCCAAGGACCCCGGGTCAGTAGGGGGCCCCATGAGATGCCCCTGCTACCTTTCATAGGCTTTTTTGAGTGTGGGCGAGGACACAGGGGCTCCATGATCCCCTATTGCCCGAGGGCCCCATGAGTTGTCAGTCCGCCCCTGTTCTGGATCCATCACCACTTGGCAGAGACTGCAGTATGACATCAATTTTTAGCTCTTTGTAGGGGGGGGCATTCTGACCACCGCTATAAGTGGGGGGCATTCTTTCCACTGACTCTGACCACTGACAGGGGTTTGTAAATTATAAAATGCAGCCCTCGTACTGAAATGTTTGGAGGCATGTAAAAGGGTCTTCGTGTTTGGCTGGATTTGGCACCAAAGCACAAGTCCCTATCCTGCTCCAGCACTGCTAGAACACTGTCCTTCCAACTGAAGTTGAACCCCCTGCCATTGTGTGCCCTGCTCCTTGCCATAGGCCTCCACACGACCTTCCCCGCCATAGACCTTTAAATGCCAAAGAAGGAACATCCACTGAAAAAATTGATTCACTGAACTTTACTGTTGTTGGCACATCACAAGGACATATATTCTGGAGTGATTTGACATACACAGTCAGTCACATATAGTGGACAGTCTGTAGTAGTCACAGGTGAAAGCATGTGCAGCACTTAGCAGCCAACTGCCTACAGCCTCTCCTGTGCCCAGGTTTATCAGTACTCACAGGGCCTCCTAGCTGGGCATATCTCTCCTGGGAACCCTCCAGAGAAGCAGCCTCATACAGAGATCTCCAACTTGGCCTAAAAGGCCTTTTGTAATTCATCCCTGCCCCCTTCTCCTTAAGGGACAGAATGTCTACAGCCAGCTCCTCCTGCATACAGGTCCACTCCACCTGGCTGCTTGCCCTGTTCAGGGTCTACATGGGTGCATCACATGTGAGCAGGGAAGGAACAGTGGGGGGGGGCAGTTACTGGAACCGATCCCCTGTATGGCTCCCTCTGCAGCAGCTGAAATCTGGCTTCTTCTCCTCTCCCTCACCTGGCTTTCAGCTGCTGCAGGGAGAGCCATACAGGGGATCGGTTCCAGTAATTGCCTCTCCCCCCCTCCACCCACGCTGCACCCATCACCCTCCCTGTGCAGCATACTTTCCACCCCCCCGCTGCTGGCTTCCCTCCTCTCCTTCCCACCAGCAGCTGCAAGCACACAATAGTATCCATCTGGATGGAGAGTGGGGGAAGGGTCCAGTAAATATGTCACATTAACCAGCCCCTTCTTTTCCTGAATGAACACAATGTGTGATCGGTACTCGTCACTCACTCACTGTATTCATTCCTGCCTGAAGCATAGTTCACTGGGTTTTTTTTTGGAGAGGGGGAATGGGGACCCTCCCGTGGAAAGAACCTGATATTGACCAACAACTCCCCTGCCCCCCCACCCAAGGGAACCTTCCACTAACACATATCCCCCCTCCCCCCAAGTGAAAGAGAGATAGACACTCACCTTCACAGCTCTGGACCTCCCTGGGAACAAGAATCGGGCTCTGCATACACCATCAAGCAGCCCGAAGCCTCTCTTGGATCCCACCTGGTCTCCATGTTGCACGTGTCCCTTCTTTTGTTTCTTCTGTCCCTTTTTCCGGGGTGCTGCCCTCCTGAAAAATGCAGCCCTAGGCAAATGCCTTGTTTGCCTTGTGGTAAATACGCCCCCGGTATCAGGTACTGCATTTGCAAGAAAAGAAGCAAAATAACTCACCAATGCCTTTTCTGCCTAAATCAGTAATTTTTGTAGAATTGTTTTTTTTAATGCTTCATGTCTTGACCAGATGCCACAAAAGTGGCTGTTTGCCGGAGAGTCTCCTCCGTCTGAAATTCCCACAATCTCTATAATTAGACATTAAAAGCTAACATAAAGTCACTTTTGGTCTCTTAGGACAGGAAAGTCCCCGAAAGGCACTACATTCACCAGAGAACCGGGTAATTCGGTGACCCCCGACATACGGGAGCAGAGCAGCGTGAGAAAGCAGCAGCAAAGCATCCTGGGAAGCCAGACTATTGTGTCTCAGGTCAGTGATCGGTGCTGGGAGAGAGCCAACAGGACACAAATGGTCCTCAGAGAGTTCTCAGAACTTCCTGAGTCTTAATATAAGACTTGACATCATCCTCTGTGACTCCAAGAACTGTATTTATCTTCCCAGAAGGAGCCAAACACCGGGGACTGCGATGGACAGATCCCGCTACGCCCAACGCCACAGACTGGACCCAGCAGGTACACAACATTCCAACCATTGTGTGCTTCTACTTTCCATCCCTTAGATCCACATTCACGATTCTGTCCTTGTGTATAAAACTTGGACAATAACAAACATACATGGCAATGCTCTATTACTGGACAAAACTGCACTACAGCATTCAGCTCTGAAAATAACAGATGATACATACATGTCATTATTATCATCACCATCCACTCCCTCATCATATCTCATCCACTCCCTCATCATATGTCATCCACTCCCTCATCATATGTCATCCACTCCCTCATCATATGTCATCCACTCCCTCATCATATCTCATCCACTCCCTCATCATATCTCATCCACTCCCTCATCATATCTCATCATCACTCCCTCATCATATGTCATCCACTCCCTCATCATATCTCATCCACTCCCTCATCATATCTCATCCACTCCCTCATCATATCTCATCCACTCCCTCATCATATGTCATCCACTCCCTCATCATATCTCATCCACTCCCTCATCATATCTCATCCACTCCCTCATCATATCTCATCCACTCCCTCATCATATGTCATCCACTCCCTCATCATATCTCATCTACACCCTCATCATATCTCATCCCCTCCCTCATCGTATCTCATCCACTCCCTCATCATATCTCATCCCCTCCCTCATCGTATCTCATCCACTCCCTCATCATATCTCATCCACTCCCTCATCATATCACGACTCGATTACTGCAACTCCCTCCTCACTGGCCTGCCTTGCCACAGGCTATCCCCGCTTCAGTCGATCCTGAATACGGCAGCCAGACTCATTCACTTTTCCAACCGCTCCGTCTCCGCCACCCCCATCTGCCAATCCCTCCACTGGCTTCAGATTGCACAACGGATCAAATTCAAAATGCTTACACTGACATACAAAGCTGTCCATAATACCGTCCCAAACTACATCACCGACCTAATATCCAAATACCACCCAAAACGCACTCTCCGCTCCTCAAAAAAAGACCTCCTTTTCTCTAGTTCCCTGGTCTCTGCCTCCAGGACTTCTCCAGGGCATCACCCATCCTCTGGAACTCCCTACCCCAATTCATCAGACTATCACCTACTCTCCTCTCTTTTAAGCGCACCCTGAAAACCCACCTCTTCAGGGAAGCCTACACCGCCCTCTGCTAATTGCCGATCTCCTCCACTCTTCCTACCACTCCATCCCCCACAGCTTTTCCTCCTGTACTACTACCCCTCCCTCCTAGATTGTAAGCTCCAAGGAGCAGGGCCCTCGAACCCCTCGTGTATCACACTGTATTGTTATTGCACTGTCTCGTGTATTGTCTCCCATTGTAATGTACAGCGCTGAGCGAACCATTGGCGCTTTATAAATACTGTATAATAATAATAATTAATATTATTGTTATTTTTTCCGCAGTCCAAGAAACTGAAGGTTGTTCATAGAAGGGTACAGGGGAGAGAATAGGTGTGAGGAACCAGGCTCTGGATGGACAGTTGGATAAATGGCTCTATATTTAGGATGTATCGGTCTGTAAACCAGAGGCTCTGGATGGACAGTTGGTTAAATGGCTCTATATTTAGGACTTTTCCAGTCTATAAACCAGAGGTTCTGGATGGACAGTTGGATAAATGGTTCTATATTTAGGATGTATCCCGTCTATAAACCAGAGACTCTGGATGGACAGTTGGATAAATGGCTCCATATTTAGGATGTATCCGGTCTATAAACCAGAGACTCTGGATGGACAGTTGGATAAATGGCTCCATATTTAGGATGTATCCGGTCTATAAACCAGAGACTCTCTGGATGGACAGTTGGATAAATGGCTCTATATTTAGGATGTATCCCGTCTATAAACCAGAGACTCTGGATGGACAGTTGGATAAATGGCTCCATATTTAGGATGTATCCGGTCTATAAACCAGAAGCTCTGGATGGACAGTTGGATAAATGGCTCTATATTTAGGATGTATCCGGTCTATAAACCAGAGGCTCTGGATGGACAGTTGGATAAATGGATCTATATTTAGGATGTATCTGGTCTATAAACCAGAAGCTCTGGATGGACAGTTGGATAAATGGCTCTATATTTAGGATGTATCCAGTCTATAAACCAGAGGCTTTGGGTGTACAGTTGGATAAATGGCTCTATATTTAGGATGTATCCGGTCTATAAACCAGAGGCTTTGGGTGGACAGTTGGATAAATGGCTCTATATTTAGGATGTACCCGGTCTATAAACCAGAGGCTCTGGATGGACAGTTGGATAAATGGTTCTATATTTAGGATGTATCTGGTCTGTAAAACCGTTGGTACTGGATGGACAGTTGGGTAATGACATGTATTAATTACCTGACAACATTTCTCATTGTTTTTGGTTTCTTTCCTTTCTCTCACTATAACTTTTGTTGTGGTTTGTTGAGTGAAATATTGTGTGAACTTTTTTCACTTGTTTTTTAGCATATGTGGGGAATTACTGCAGTGCAGAGAAGAGAGCGACAACATCAAGAGTAGTTGTCAGAGACATTCTCCACCTCCAGATACTGAGGTGAGTTCTGGACTCTGTACCCTCCTGTTTGGAATAGAGCAGACTGACCCTTCTGTGTTTTACCAGCTCCTCCCACTCAGCCAGGCCTGACGGGTGTCAAAATATCCAAATGGCAGCTGCATCTGAATGGAATTTTCCTTCTCCTGGCACCTTCATTTGTGCAATCAAAGTAGAGAACGGACAGGGCCACCAAGTAACTGAGATTTGGCCAGTTCCTGATGAAATTTGTACATTGTATGGCCAGCTTAAGTCATATGTCCATGTGACAGAAAGTGTTGGGAATCTCCTATAGCTATAGCCCTTCTCTATCCTAAAGAAAAAAAAGTTTTGGATCCAGTGTTAGACAAGTTTTTCAGTAAAGTGGAAGACCCCCTTTAATTAGTGCACATTTGGGATAATTTACCAGAAAAAAAGCACTTTTGGGATTAGAGGAGGGCCGTGGATGGGGTGGGGAGGGGGTCGGGGAGTACCACCAGTCCACCTGTATGGGGCCCAGGCCAGCAGGGGGGCCCAGGCAGCTGGAATGTGGACAGGGAGGGTGATTGGCATGGCTGGGGGGCAGTTACTGGAACCGATCACCTGTATGGCTCTCTCTGCAGCAGCTGAAAGCCGGCTTCTTCTCCTCTCCCTCCCATTGGCTTTCACCTGCTGCAGAGAGAGTCATACAGGAGATCAGTTCCAGTAATCCCCCCCTCCCCACGGTGCACCCATCACCCTCCCTGTGCACCATATCTTTCCCCCTGCTGCCCAGGCCCCCCCCCCTGTGTGCCCCCACAGCACTGACAGCTTCCCCCCTTTCCTTCCAATAGGATCCTTCAGGATGGAGAATAGGGGAAGGGTCCGGTAAATATGTCACATTTTCAGCTCCTTCCTTTCCTGAATGAACACAATGAGAGATCAGTACTGATCATTCACTGTGTTCATTCATAACTGAAGCATAGTAAACTGCTTTTTTGTTGTTGTTTTTTTGAAGGGGGTCCTGTCAGGTTGGCTGTATGGGGCCCCGTGGTTTCTAACAGCAGCCCTGACTCTAGATAACCAGGCTCTCCCTACAACAAAGGTGATGCTCCAAGCTGCTCAAATAAATCAGTTGAATAAAACGTTCTAAGTGTAATATTTATTGGACATTTCATAACAAATGCACATATAGCTTTACACTCACATGCAGAGGTGCTCAAAAGACCAGCACTGCATAGATGAACAATCCAATAGTATGGCCGGTGTGCATTCCATGCCTCGCTGATGATAGGCCACGGAAAGCCGGAAGTGATGGAATTGCGCTTTGGGGGGGGGTTGGGTCAGGTTGGCTGTATTGGCGGCCCCATGGGTTCTAACAGCAGCCCTGGATAAGAGGTCACAGATATTAATCCTGACTAGACCACAGAGCTTACAGTAATTTATGGATTTGGAGTTGATTCCACACGTAAAGCACCTGCACTTTCTTAACCTTTTGCAGGAAGACAGTCTTCTCAGCGAGCTGAAGGCCACATCACAATGGCTGCAGAATCTGGAACAGCTTCTGTCGGAGCCTGCTGCCATGCGCAGTCCGGAGCTGGTCCGTCGGGACCTGAGGCAGGTGTCCTACCTGGAGAAACAGTTGAAGTCACGAGGTGTGGCTCTCCATTCCGCAGGGAGAGCGATCCGGAGCTCCGGGTGGAGTGTGGACCAGGAGATGCAGGTCCAGGTCCGGGAGGTGGAGGAGAGGTGAGCAAGGTCTAACGTTGTACGATGCTGAAAATGTTTCAGGGACTAAAGGCAAATAGACTGTGCACTTTGCAAGAGCAGTTGCTCCAGAGCTTAGTAAATGAGGGGAAGCGCTGCTGACTTCCACCATCCAATCATGTGCAAGAAAAAATGCTTTTTCTTTAAATTTTCCCTGCACGTGATTGGGTACCCATATGGAAGAAAAATATATTTGAAATGCTACAATTTTGGCCATATTCAATATATTTCAAAATAGATTTATATATATATATATATATTATATGGTTGGTGGGTTGTGTGGAATGGCTGTTGCGGGAGGGGTCTAGGCCCTCTCTCCGCGGATGCGGCGTGCCAGCTGGATGTCTTTGGGCATGATGGTGACCCTCTTGGCGTGGATGGCGCAGAGGTTGGTGTCCTCGAAGAATCCGACGATTGTGAGCTCGAAAGAGCAGGGCCCTCGATCCCCTCATGTTTTGCATTGTATTGGTATTGTTTGTCACATGTTCTGTCCCCCTTTGTAATGTACAGCGCTGAGCGAACGATTGGCGCTTTATAAATACTGTATAATAATATATATATTTTTTTATTTATTTATTTGGAGGGGGGGAGGGTTGCAAGTAGCTGGTCTTGCCTAGGACGCAAAATAGTCTAGCACCGGGCCTGAGTATGGCAGTCAACAGTAAGTGAATTTCAACATTCTTGGACCAATCATAGACCTATATTCACACAAAAACGTTAAAACAACAACAACAATAAAAAATCGAAAAGTTGTAGACTCAATGGACCACTTGATCTTTTTCCACCATGACTTTTCTGTGATTTTATGCTTCCCTTTGAAACACTGGATATCATTTATCACACATGCGTTGCCCAGTTAACACAGACGTCTGTTCTCTTCTTCCAGGCTGCAGACGGTACAGGAGGCGCTCCGCCGTCGCACCTCCGATCTGAGAGACACGTTGGTACTGTCGGAGTTCATGAAGGTTGTCCAGATGGAGGAGGACAGGCGGAGGAGGAGTACGGTGAGTGAGGAAAATATCACAGTTCATTGCGTTTTGTCTGACTGGTGACGGCTCCACTTCAAATATAAAGTATAGCAAGATGCTAGCTCTTCTGTATCAAGTTTCTTGCTGTTGGTGATCCACTTCTGCTGGCCCACATCATTATGGAGCACCAATATATTCCTGCCTTCATGCTTCCACCTCTGCCATGCAGAGTGCAGTGATGATGATGATCCTTCTAGGATATAGGTCCTTCATAGAATATACAAACCTTATCAAAGGTAGCACTACATAATCGCACTAAAAGTCAGATCAACATGGTGTCACAGCAGTGTAAACCTAACCTTAGGGCCAGTTCACCTTATACCAGTGCACTAAGGCAGGGCTGCTGTTCGAAACCATGGGGCCCCAAACAGCCAACCTGACAGGGCCCCCCCCCCAAAAAAAAAAAACCTCTGTTTACTATGCTTCCGTTATGAATGAACACAGGGAGCGATATGTATTGATCACTCATTGTGTTCATTCAGGAAAAGATGGGGCTGGTAAATGTGACATATTTACCAGAATCTTCCCCCACTCTCCATCCTGAAGGATCCTATTGTATGCTTGCAGCTGCCAGTGGGAAGGAGAGAAGGGAAGCTGGCAGCACTGCGAGGGTGGGGGTACACAGGGGGGCCTGGGCTTCAGGGGGAAAACTATGGTGTACAGGGAGGGTGATGGGTGTGGCAGAGGGGCAATTACTGGAACCGATCCCCTGTATGGCTCTCTTTACAGCAGCTGAAAGCCAGCAGGAGGGAGAGGAGTAGAAGCCAGCTTTAAGCTGCTGCAGAGAGGGCTATACAGGGGATCGGTTCCAGTAATTTCCCCACATGCTGGGCTGATCACCCTTCCTGCCCACATCCCATTCACCAAGTTGCCTGAGCCCCCCTGCGGGCCTGGGCCCTGTACAGGAGGACTGATGGTACCCCTTATCCACGGCCCTGCACTAAGGCAATGCAGCTGTGCGCCATCATGCTGCAACGCATGGTGATGCATTGCCCTATGCTGCGTTAGGTGTATTTTTTTTCTTACAGAATGTAGGGCTACTTTAGTAAGACATCACCGACAATGGGGCATTACTTTTCCTGCTGACACCAGCTATTGGGAGCTATTCCTCCCACTATGCAAGATATACCTGTGCTCAAATCACAATAGCTTGTACATGCATTTATCTATCAGGTGCTGAAGGGGTGTATTACTATTGCTATTTCTCCCACTAACACCAACAATAGGGCACTTTGCCTCTCACTGACACCAGCGATGGCGCACTATTTCTTCCCGTAGTGCCAACAATGAGGCATTATTTCTCCCCCTGACACCAGTAATTGGGAGCTATTCCTCTCACTGACACCAACCACGGGGCACTTTTCCTCCCACTGACACCAACGATGGGGCGCTATTCCTTCCCCAAATGCCAACAGTGGGGCATTATTTCTCCCCCTCACACAGACAATTGGGAGCTATGTCTCCCACTGACACCAACAATGGGGCTCTACTCCCACTGACACCAACAATGGGGCTCTACTCCTCCCACCAAAATCAACAATGGAGCACTATTCCTCCCACTGACACCAACGATGGGGCACTATTTCTGCCACTGGCACCAACAATGGAGCATTATTTCTCCCCTTCACACCAACAATTGGGAGCTGTTTCTCCCACTGACACCAACAATGGAGCACTATTTCTTCCACTGACACCAGCAATGGGGCACTATTCCTCCCACCGACACCAGCAATGGGGCACTATTCCTCCCACCGACACCAGCAATGGGGCACTATTCCTCCCACCGACACCAGCAATGGGACACTATTCCTCCCACCGACACCAACAATGGGGCACTATGTCTTCCACTGATACCAACAATGGGGCACTATTTCTCCCACCGACACCAACAATGGGGCACTATTCCTTCCACCGACACCAGCAATGGGACACTATTCCTCCCACCGACACCAACAATGGGGCACTATGTCTTCCACTGATACCAACAATGGGGCACTATATCTCCCACCAAACACCAACAATGGGGCACTATTCCTTCCCACTGACACCAACAATGGGGCACTATGTCTTCCACTGATACCAACAATGGGGCACTTTTCCTTCCACCGACACCAGCAATGTGGCACTATTCCTCCTACTGATACCAACAATGTGGCACTATTTCTCCCACCGACACCAACAATGGGGCACTATTCCTTACCCAAATGCCAAAGATGCCAGGACAACTTCTATTCCCAGTGGCCACAGTCCGGCCCCCCTAAAGTCTGAAGGACAGTAAACTGGCCTTTTTTTTAGAATGTTTGAAGACCCCTGCCTTACAGCCTCATCACCCGACATTGTGCCTCTCAGTACAGTGACGTGATACTTTGTAGCATCATGTAGCGTTTTGTTAATATGTAACATCGGGTATTGCTGTGCATTGCCTGCTGAGCATCTGCCATTTTCACCTCTTCCACAGCTGCTCGGGGGACCCCCAGATCCTGCCCCAGAACCGGCAGACAGGAAGGACACGTTCACCCCTTTGGAAGAGCTGCAGGAAGCGGTGGAAATGCTGAATGATGCAGCAAAGGAGCGGGAGCGAGCGCTGGCTGACACCAAAGAGACGACTGACCTGGAAAGGCGGGTGAGTGTCTGCCATGTGTGCTGGGATGGGGGTTGCCTGCTTCCCCAGAGCACAGACAGTGCAGGAGGTTCACTGGTTTTGACCAATCAGAATGGGGCTGGGTTTTTATTCATGAGCTGACGGTGGTATTGGACGACAAACATGAACATTTATATCAGTTTGGCAGCCCTGGCTCGACTATCAGCCGCTAACCACATTCACTGCTCAGCAGGCCCACCTTTACCTTTAGAGGCCATTTTTAATATCTTTCCTTGGATCCTGCTGTCATGACAGGCTTGTGTCTCCAAATTCCCCCACGTTGACAGCTTTCTACTCCTTTCTAACATATCTTTTCCACTTTTAACTCATCTAGCCCCCCCCCCCCTTTTTTTTTCTTCTTTATCTTTTCCAATTTCTCCTACTCTTGGGAGGACCTGTTTTCAGTTTCTGACATTGAAGGTGGCATTTTGAAGTGAAGTCACTGCGCTTCATGTTTAGCATGACCAGGCCTGGTTTTCAGGGTCCTAAGCCTGGCCAGAATTCCTAGAATGTGTCCTACCTTTTTCTTTTTATATCATACGCACTTAAAGTGTTACTAAACCCCGGACCCCGCATTCACTATATCCGCTCTCCCCGGACCCTGCATTCACTATATCTGCTCTCCCCGGACCCTGCATTCACTATATCCGCTCTCCCCGGACCCTGCATTCACTATATCCGCTCTCCCCGGACCCTGCATTCACTATTTCTGCTCTCCCCGGACCCTGCATTCACTATATCCGCTCTCCCCAGACCCCGCATTCACTATATCTGGTCTCCCCGGACCCTGCATTCACTATATCCGGTCTCCCCGGACCCTGCATTCATTATATCTGCTCTCCCCCGGACCCTGCATTCACTATATCCGCTCTCCTCGGACCCCGCATTCACTATATCCGCTCTCCCCGGACCCTGCATTCACTATATCCGCTCTCCCCGAACTCCGTATTCACTATATCCAGTCTCCCCAGACCTTGCATTCACTATATCTGCTCTCCCCGGACCCCGCATTCACTATATCCGCTCTCCCCGGACCCCGCATTCACTATATCCGCTCTCCCCGGACCCTGCATTCACTATATCCGCTCTCCCCGGACCCCGCATTCACTATATCCGCTCTCCCCGGACCCCGCATTCACTATATCCGCTCTCCCCGGACCCTGCATTCACTATATCCGCTCTCCCCGGACCCCGCATTCACTATATCCGCTCTCCCCGGACCCCGCATTCACTATATCCGCTCTCCCCGGACCCCGCATTCACTATATCTAGTCTCCCCAGACCTTGCATTCACTATATCTGGTCTCCCCGGACCCTGCATTCACTATATCCGCTCTCACCGGACCCCACATTCACTATATCCAGTCTCCCCAGACCCTGCATTCACTATATCTGGTCTCCCCGGACCCTGCATTTATTATATCCGCTCTCCCCGGACCCTGCATTCACTATATCTGGTCTCCCCAGACCCTGCATTCACTATATCTGGTCTCCCCGGACCCTGCATTCATTATATCCGCTCTCCCCAGACCCTGCATTCACTATATCTGGTCTCCCCGGACCCTGCATTCATTATATCCGCTCTCCCCGGACCCTGCATTCACTATATCCGGTCTCCCCGGACCCTGCATTCACTATATCCGCTCTCCCCAGACCCTGCATTCACTATATCCGCTCTCCCTGGACCCTGCATTCACTAAATCTGGTCTCCCCGGACCCTGCATTCACTATATCTGCTCTCCCCGGACCCTGTATTCACTATATCCGGTCTCCCTGGACCCTGCATTCACTATATCCGCTCTCCCCAGACCCTGCATTCACTATATCCACTCTCCCCAGACCCTGCATTCACTATATCCGCTCTCCCCAGACCTGCAATCACTATATCCGCTCTCCCCAGACCCTGCGTTCACTATATCCGCTCTCCCCAGACCCTGCGTTCACTATATCCGCTCTCCCCAGACCCTGCATTCACTATATCCGCTCTCCCCAGACCCTGCGTTCACTATATCCGCTCTCCCCAGACCCTGCGTTCACTATATCCGCTCTCCCCAGACCCTGCGTTCACTATATCCGCTCTCCCCAGACCCTGCGTTCACTATATCCGGTCTCCCCGGACCCTGCATTCACTATATCTGGTCTCCCCGGACCCTGCATTCACTATATCCGCTCTCCCCGGACCCCGCATTCACTATATCCGGTCTCCCCGGACCCTGCATTCACTATATCCGCTCTCCCCAGACCCTGCATTCACTATATCCACTCTCCCCGGACAATGAGTATAACAAGCATGCTTTACTATATATAAATACTGATTTTGCTGTTGTTGGTTTAGTAACACTTTAAAGAACTGCTTCTCGGGACTGGGCTGTAACACTGGCCAAGGCAACAAATATGTTGTTCACTGTCTCCCAGCATAACAGTATAAAACCAGTCATATTTTATACTGTGGGTGTTTTCTTGGATGCCCATCTAACTACCTGCCCCCTGGACCCTGTTCCCTCTCCCGGGTATCCTCTTTCCCATTCTAGGCTTTTTAAATTACATTTTCATATTTCTCTATCTCTACTGGCCTCTTTCTTTCCTCTACAAAACATACACTGGTCACCCTATAAATCCCTTCCTGGACCCCACCAGTCTGATCAACCTAAAACCCGTTGCTTCCACTCCAAATGTCTAGAACTCCTGGTCTACAACTGAGCTGCTGCCTCAATGATAACAACCTTCTTGACCTCTTCCAGTCTGGCTTTCACCCACAACACTCCACAGAAACTGCCGTACTACAATTTACTAGTGATTTATTGACTTCTAAAACCAATGGTCTCTACTCAGCGCTCTTACTAGTGGACCTTTCTTCTGCCAGTTGACCACCTTCTCTTCCTTAAAAACTCCACTCCTTTCGTCTCTAAGACTCTTCTGTTTCCTGGTTCTCCTATCTTTCTGCACTCACCAGCCTCTTTATTAATTATACCTGTTCAATTGCTTGGTAACGCAAATTGCTTACCAGCCAATCACATGGCAGCAGCATTTAGGCATGTAGACGTGATAAAGATGACTTGCTGAAGTTCAAACCGAGCATCAGAATGGGGAAGAAAGGGGATTTAAGTGGCTTTGATCGTGGCATGGTTGTGGGTGCCAGATGGGCTGAGTATTTAGAAAACTGCTGATCTACTGGGATTTTCACACACAACCATCTCGGGTTTAAAAAGAATGATCCGAAAAAAAGAAAATATCTAGTGAGCGGCAGTTGTGTGGAAGAAAATGCCTCGTTGATGTCAGAGGTCAGAGGAGAATAGGCAGACTGGTTCAAGATGATAGAAAGGCAACAGTAACTCATGTCAAAACGAACCAAAATCTCTGAGGAATGTTTCCAACACCTTGTTGAATCTATGCCATGAAAAATGAAGGCCGTTCTGAAGGCAAAAGGGGGTCCAACCCGGGACTAGTAAGGTGGACCTCATAAAGTGGCCAGTGATTGTAGATCCAACATAATGCGTACTCTTATTTAATGTTGGACGGTCTTGTTTCCTAAATGTAGGTATTCGCTAAGTCAAGCTGTACCGCCATCATCTCTGTCTCTTTTTTCTGAAGCTCTTGGCGCTCCCCCAGATGATCCAGTCAGCCAGCGCCCTGACCCAGGATGTGCGGAGGAAGATGGAGGAGGTAGAGCAGGATTATATGGCGGCAAAGAAGTATACAGAGCTGAGAGACCTGCAGGAGATTTCTACACTACACCAACAAGCAGAGGTAATGGGCTGTTGCTTTCTAGATAACGTCCTCTGCGGTTCACTGTCTTGAAGTTCGTGTTCACCCTCTGTGGAGAAGGCCATGTTGTGAGATGAGGTAGACTAGTGAGCCAATACTAACCAGCATGACAACATCCACAGTTTCCAGGAAACCCATCTAGCCCCTCTCTAGCCCACATATTTGTGCTGTCCAGGTCCCTCGTAGTTGTCATTTCGGGGGACTACTGTTCCATTGCTGCAGATGTGCCCATGTTGGCCAGTCCCCGACAGTTGCATCATCGTTGCAGACTCTGAATCCTGAGAGTACCCCACCACTAGACAATCAATTGGAACTGTCTACTTCATGCGGTCAGGACACCCAAAGAAGGACCTCTCCTCTTGTAGCAAAAGAAGAGAGAGAAGTTGGGACTGAAGTGTTACTTGGCTTTGGCTTTAGGTGAGTAAAAAGAACATTGGGTTTCTTGTCAAGCCAGTGACCAGTTAGAGGGGAATTTAGAGGGATTTCAATAGGTGCCTGGAGACGGTCTTTAATTGTGCGTGGCTGAATAGTCCTAGTCACTTGCACTGAATCTTGCACTGTCACTATATGAGTACATTTCTGGTGGACACCTGACCATTATGTCTATATGAGCTGGTTGGGCATCCCATTGAAATCACCATTGCCATTAATATGATGTTGCCCCCCCCCCCCCCCCCCCCTACCCCCTACACTCTCCCCAGGGTCATTAATATGGATTTGCCCTCCCTCAGTGGCCATTAATATGAAGTTGCCCTCCTTTCCCCAAGGCCATTGTTATGGAGTTTATCCCCTCCCCCCAAGGCCAATAATATGCAGCTCATACCCTCCCCCAAAGCCATTAATATGAAGTTGCTCTCCTTCCCTCCCTCTATGGCCATTACTATGAAGTTGCTTTCCTCCTCAAAAGACCATTAATATGAAGTTGCCACCCTCCTCCAAGGCCATTAATATGTCCCCAACAGGGCTTTTTTTAAAGAATAGGTGCAGTTACTCCCCCCTTCCAAGTCACCCCTGGTTTCTGCCCCCTACCCACCTTCCAGTACTACCACTTTTAGAGAATACAGAACCAAGTATCATTTTGTGGTGCTAACTAATTTGTATGGAAATTTGGTAATGATAACAAGAAAAGCAGTCAAATAGACCCCGTAGCAACAACAGATCCCCAGCAACAATAGATCCTCACAGCAACAATAGACCCCAGCAACAATGGATCCCCTTAGGAACAATAAACACCTAGAAACAAGGAATCCACCCCAGGAACAATAGATCCACACCAGAAGCAAATAGACCCCCAGTAGCAATAGACACCAACCAGCAACAATAGATCTTTCAGCAGTCAGCATGAATAGGCTGGGTCAGGGAATATTCGATTCCTTCTCTTGGGATCAGTAAGGAATTTTTTTCCCAGCAGGAGCAAATTGGATCGTGCTTTGCTGTTTTTTTTTGCCTTCCTCTGGATCAACTGTGGGTGTAGGATTATAACTTTTTTTTTTCTATGGTTGAACTGGATGGACTTTTGTCTTTTTTTCAGCCAGACTAACTATGTAACCTCCAGCAGCCAGCAACAGTAACCTTTTCCTGAACAGTAGATCTCTACCAGCAACAACTGACCCTCTAGCAGCATAAGATGCCCCAACAACAATAGATCCCCTACCTGCAACAACAGACCCTCCCACAACAATAGATCCCCCAGTGACAATAGATCCCTTAGCAGCCAGCATCAATAGGCTCTCCATCACCCCTTGGTATTAAATACATTCAATGCTGGAGGTGGCAGAACTGTGTTCCCCAGCACTCCTTCTGAAAATAAGCCATGGTCTCCACATTGTTGTCTGTCATGTAATTCATCCATTACACTGGACATTACGGGGGTATTGTTGGACATCCAGGTTGCAGAGGACATCATTAACTTGTAATTCATAGAGTTGGAACGTTGACAGTTCAGCATTGGTTTTTTGGGGATGTTCGATCCAGACCTCCTGACACAGACTGCAGGAAACACTTGGGGTCTGATCTGCGGTCTCAGGACTTCTAGGTGCAGCTCACGGTCTCAGGGTTACACCAGATCTCCAGCCAGCATCTCCAATCTTCATATTGAGATTATATTAGTTTTATATCTATCATATACTGTGTGTTTGTAGCACTACCCCCTTAGGAGTTGCTGAAGATTTGGGTCCCTCTATAAACCTGAACAGCCAGGCAACGCACATTTTCCTCAGACTTGCATTCCAAACAGTAAACAGCCCTCAAGCTTGTGTTTTTTTTTAGTATTATTAGGGGTATTGTACTTGGATGGGGTAAGGGGTGTATGGGATGCCCAAGGGAATTGCAACTATATACAAGGCAACTATATACAAGGCTTTACAAAGCAAACCTCTTCTGGGAGAGCTCTCCAGCCTCTCCTGGTGTACCAGCCCAGACCCCAGATAAATCTCCTTCTTCACCCAGTCTGGAGGAATCCCTGGGCAAGAGGATCCAGTGCCTGCCAGTTTAGGATGAACAGTCCCAGGTAAGGAGCTAGTCAGGTCTCCCACTAGAACACTCTTTTCCCCTTAGCTGGCCCAGGGGGGTGTAGGATTACTCACTCAGTCCCTTTCCTGTGAGCTGGTTTAGGTAGGTGGCTGCCTTCAGGCCTTCTGCTGTGATGGCTCCTTTCCTGGCTCTACTTTTAGTCCTCCCTCTGGGGGCTGGTGAGGTTGCGTGATCCTCCTGTCCATGTCCCAGCCTGTAGGTAGGCCCGTTCCCACTGGGCCCCCTCCCAGACACCTGCATCTCTCCTCTCTCACATCTTCCACCCGAACTCTCCTACTGCTGAGCAGGCTCAGTCATACTTAAAGGCTGTCCTGACCCCATGCCAAGCCTCCTGCCTGGGGATTGGTCAGCATCCCCCATGTGTGCAAATCAGCCCCTCTTCACCCCTGCCCACTACTTCTAGAACTTTCTCCAAGATGCTAGAGCAGGGGGAGGTATCAAGGAACTGATCTACAGAGCTTCTCAGCCTTGACCCAAATTTGACCCTGCTGAGTATTCTGAGGTTGCTGCTCAGCTTTCCAACTAAAAATTAGCCACTAGCTCCCCCTGGGTACTTAGAGGGGCGCTACATGTATTTTAATACTAGTATATGAAAAGTTCCCATTGCAGTTTGACAAGGCACCAAAACACTTATTCCACACAGGCTTTGAATCTCCATACCATTTATTGTGTGAAGCAAGATGGAAAATAAATTAAAATGCCTTGTATAAAGATTGTGAGTTGTTTCCCCTTGTAGTAAAAATCCAACCTGTATATTCAGTTCAGGCAGCTTTATGTTCTAGTAGTCTCAGGGCTGGATTATGTGGAACATTTCCAGCCATGGTGACTTTGACATGACAGCGGCCATTTTGTTCTCCAGGCAGAGGTGGCGGGAGAGATGCAGGCAGAGGTGAGGAGGCTGGAAGAGCAGAGGGACCTGCTACAAGATCTCTGCCCCCAGAGGAGCCAGGTGCTTGGAAGAAGCATTGAGGAAACGCTGCAGGCTTGGGGCCAGCTACAGGAGGACATCCAAAGGAGCCGCACCCGATTACACAGAACCTCCCAACTGAGGGACTTTTTCCTGAGCTACCTGGGGATGATGTAAGTGATTGGTTGTGTGTAGATAAAACAGGAGTCACATGACCTGACTGCAGGGATACATGGCCAGCGGAAATTCCATGATGACTGTAGTGCTCCAGACCACCCATTGCTGAGTGAGTGTCACCAGCTTGCTGGTAATCAAGGAACACCAGTTGCTGGACCATGTGAATGTGCAGGCCTGGGATATCCTACTCTGCCCAGGGAGGGGGGAAGGCGGGCTGGGCAACAACTCCAGTCAATAAAAAGGAAGATAATAAAAAGGGTTCAAAATGACCTTGCCAGCCAGCTTGCCAACAACCAAATTAGCCTGTCTAACAGTATGCGTTAAAAACGGGTTTAGTTAGCACACATTTGCAAATACATACGTAAGCCACAGAGCCACGTCACGGCACCCCGACATTCTGTGGTCCTAACTCTACAAATTAGAGAGCCCCCATAGTAGAGGCACTTGCATTTAAAGGATAGACCAGGGGCAGGTGCACATCAGGGAGCCCACCCCTCTTAAAGGTACAGGAGTGCGAAGGACACCCAGCATGTAGCACAATGGCAGCCAGGGCGCCCAGTGCACCCACTCAACTTAAAACCTTTTTTATTGACATGCGTTGCCCGGTTCACATAGTCCTTGCTTCATAAGCCAGTTATAGACTGGGGCCGGTGCCATGCTTTACTTTACTGGCAACAACTCCAGCCTATCGAAGAGGAAACTATAGCAAATGGAAAATGATTGCCAACATGTTTGAGAAGAGTTATGTAAGGCGTCCCCATAGACACAAGGTTTTCACCCAATCTGGCCAAAATTGGGGTGTCACCATCGCGACGCCATACTTTAGTCATCATTCCCAGCAGATTCCTGAAAGCTCCTAACAGAGTCACTGGGAGTGTGCTTCCTGCAGTCCAGGAGGGCTTGAGCCTGATTGGTCGTTGTATGTAAGAAACAGCAAGGATCCGGCAATAGACTATGTTCAGGATTTTCTCTCTTTATCACATGTAAGAGTTAGTTCCCATATCACCGAATCACAGACGGAAGTAGATGAACAGAATGGAGCACTAAAGTAATGCATAGAAAAATACAGAGCTCTGAATTTCATAGCTTCATCTACAAATCTGACTGGAGTTTGCTTTTAACATGAACTCCTTCCCACTCGCAATCTGTATATTCACATTCCCCATCACAATGCCTGGTGCCGAGGATACATTAATCAATGTCAACCCCATGGGAACCACATTGCATGGCTGCTGGCTCTCATAAATAAAATAAACAAATCCCAAATGTCATTGATAGCCAGAGTCCGCACCAGGGGCGGACTGACAACTCATGGGGCCCTCGGGCAAAAGGGGATCATGGGGCCCCTGTGTCCTTGCCCACACTCTAACCACACCCAAAAAAGCCTATGAAAGGTACCGGGGGCATCTCATGGGGCCCCCTACTGACCCCGGGCCCTCGGGCAGTGCCCGAGTTCCCAAATGGTCAGTCCGCCCCTGGTCCGCACCGTCAATTAGGCAACCAATCAAAGCAGGTTCTGATAATTTGATCACTATGTCAGGGCTGGAGGCTCCATTGATAAAAATTAGCCTTCTGCCTACAGGTGACCACTGCCACCTTCAGGATGTATTGTTCATCTACAGGGCCATCAGTTTACTAGATCAGCTGTAAGATTTTGTTATTATACAGGATTTATATATTATTATTATACAGGATTTATATATTATTATATTATTATTATACAGGATTTATATATTATTATTATACAGGATTTATATATTATTATTATTATACAGGATTTATATATTATTATTATAATACAGGATTTATATATTATTATTATTATACAGGATTTATATATTATTATTATTATAATACAGGATTTATATATAATTATTATACAGGATTTATATATTATTATTATAATACAGGATTTATATATTATTATTATTATACAGGATTTATATATTTTTATTATTATACAGGATTTATATATTATTATTATTATTATACAGGATTTATATATTATTATTATACAGGATTTATATATTATTATTATTATACAGGATTTATATGGCGCCAACAGTTTGCTCAGCACTTTACAATATAACGGGAGACAATACAGCAACAATACAGTTCAATACAAGAGGGTTAGGAGGGCCCTGATCCTGGGAGCTTACAATCTAAGATACAGTTGCACTAATAAACATAATAAATGTAATTATTATTATAATACAGTATATATATATAGCACCTACAGGTTGTGCTTTACAAAAAAAGGCAGACAGTACAATTACAATACAATTCAATCTCTAAGATTGTAAGCTCCCAGGATCAGGGCCCTCCTAACCCTCTTGTATTGAACTGTATTGTTGCTGTATTGTCTCCCGTTATATTGTAAAGCGCTGAGCAAACTGTTGGCGCCATAAATCCTGTATAATAATAATATATATAAAATCCTGTATAATAATAATAATAATATATAAATCCTGTATAATAATAATATATAAAGGACCCTGCTCATTAGAGCTTACAATCTCATAAAAAAAATACAAATAAAAAATACATTATATTGCCAAAAGTATTGGGCCTTTACACACACATCACCTTTAATGGCCCCCCAGTCTTAGTCCGTAGGGTTCAATATTGAGTTGGCTCCGCCCTTTGCAGCTATAACAGCTTCAACTCTTCTGGGAAGGCCGTCCACAAGGTTTAGGAGGGTGTCTATGGGAAGGTTGGACCATTCTTCCAGAAGAGCATTTGTCAGGTCAGGCACTGATGTCGGGGAGGGAGGCCTGGCTCACAGTCTCCGCTCTAATTCATCCCAAAGGTGTTCTATGGGGTTGAGGTCAGGACTCTGTGCAGGCCGGTCAAGTTCCTCCACCCCAAACTGGCTCCTCCATGTATTTATGGACCTTGCTTTGTGCACTGGTGTGCAGTCATGTTGGAACAGGAAGGGGCCATCCCCAAACTCTTCCCACAGAGTTGGGAGCATGAAATTGTCCAAAATGTCTTGGTATGCTGACACCTTAAGAGTTTCCTTCACTGGAAGTAGGGGGCCAAGCCCAACCCCTGAAAAACAACCCCACACCATAATCCCCCCTCCACCAAACAGTCCAGTGGCAGCGTGCTTTACACCATGGCATCCGACGCTTTGCATTGCACTTGGTGATGTAAGGCTTGGATGCAGCTGCTCGGCCATGGAAACCCATTCCATGAAGCTCTCTATGCACTGTTGTGCTAATCTGAAGGCCACACCAAGTTTGGAGGTCTTTAGCTATTGACTCTGCAGACAGTTGGCGACTTCTGCGCACTGTGCGCTTCAGCATGCGCTGACCCCCGCCCTGTCATGTGACGTGGCCTACCACTTGGTGGCTGAGTTGCTGTTGTTCCCAGTTGAGCGTGGAATATTTAGTAGGCAGGAAATGTCACGGATGGACTTATTGCCCAGGTGGCCACCTATCACGGGACCACGCTTGGAGTCACTGAGCTCCTGAGAGCGACCCATTCTTTCACCAATGTTTGTAGAAGCCGTCTGCATGTCTAGGGGCTTGATTGTATACACCTGTGTCCATGGAGGGGATTGGCTGGCCCAATACTTTTGGCAATATAGTGTATTTATTTGTTCATTTTTCAGGCTATAATAAAAGCAGAGCAGTTTTTTTTTTTTAAATGAAAAATGAACAAGATAAAAATCTTACATGTCCTGCAAGTTAGAATAGTCTAGCTCAGCCTTTCTCATCCTTTTTACCCCAGGGAAACCCATAAAATAACTCTTGGGGAACCCTCATTAAAACCAAATACTTGGGATAAGTGGGGAAAATGCCCCTTACATTGGTGATCAGTGGGAAGAATGCCCCTTACATTGGTGGTCAGTGGGAAGAATGCCCCTTAATGCCCCCCTCACATTGGTGGTCAGTGGGAAAAATGCCCCTTACATTGGGGGTCAGTGGGAAGAATTTTCCTTACATTGGTGGCCATTGGGAAGAATGCTCCTTACATTGGTGGTCAGTGGAAGAATGTCCCTTACATTGGTGATCAGTGGGAAGAATGTCCCTTACATTGGTGGTCAGTGAGAAGAATGTCCCTTACATTGGTGAGCAGTGGGAAGAATGTCCCTTACATTGGTGGTCAGTGAGAAGAATGTCCCTTACATTGGGAAGAATGTCAGTGGGAAGAATGTCCCTTACATTGGTGAGCAATGGGAAGAATGTTCCTTACATTGGTGGTCAGTGGGAAGAATGCTCCTTACATTGGTGGTCAGTGAGAAGAATGCTCCTTACATTGGTGGTCAACAGAAGAATGTCCTTACATTGGGGGCAATGAGGAAGAATGTTCCTTACATTGGGGTCAGTGGGAAGAATGTCCTTACATTGGTGGGTCAGTGAGAAGAATGTCCCTTACATTGGGGGTCAGTGGGAAGAATGCTCCTTACATTGGGGGTCAGTGGGAAGAATGCTCCTTACATTGGAGGTCAGTGGGAAGAATGCTCCTTACAGTGGTGGTCAGAATACCAACCTTAAAAACAGCTTAAAAGACCATTGGTATCATGTTGCTGGCTGTGCCAGGCGGCACCAGTCCTGAATCTATGCCTGTGCTATCAAATGGGAGGTCAGTCGGCCACAGCTCAAGGAACCCTGGTAGCAATCTCTGGAGGAACTCGTAGCAATCTCTGGAGGAACCCGTAGCAATCTCTGGAGGAACCCGTAGCAATCTCTGGAGGAACCTTGGTAGCAATCTCTGGAGGAACCCTGGTAGCAATCTCTGGAGGAACCCTGGTCTGGAGGAACCCAAATCTCTGGAGGAACCCGTAGCAATCTCTGCAGGATCCTGGTAGCAATCTCTGGAGGAACCCTGGTTGGACATGGCTGGTAAAGCTGGAGCTCACAAGTTGCCATTACACTGTCTCTCTCCGTAGACCAGGTTTCCCAAGGTTTGAGAGCCCAAGGTTTGCATGTTCAAGTTGCTCCGACTCACAAAGATTATCCATGGTTTCAGCCTAATTAAAACAATTTTCTGGAAGCTGAAATAATGCAAACAAATTGCCAAACTGGTTTTCCAAAATGCATTTCCCAGACTGTAGAAAGCATGTGTGATCCTGTCTCTGCAGATCCTGGACGGAGGAGACGAGGGCTCAGATCCTGTCAGACAGCCCCGAGGAGCGGCTCAGCCCAGCGTGGAGGGAGGGGCTGGAGAGAAGCATTGATAGCAAAATGAAAGAGTTTGAGGTGCTGGCAGGTATCGGGTGGAAGCTGATTGGGGAAGACCAACGTTTGACGCAGAGGGTGAGTGCGGGGACAGCACCTTGTGTGACCAGAGACCGCAGGGCTGCTCCCCATTGTCACCATAGAAAATGATGGGTATTCCAAAATCAGTTGTCTGCAGAAAAGGAGGTGAGGGGAAATCTCCCAATTGGGACACTTATGCTGGGGGCTAATAGAGGATTTCTCCTCACTTCTTGTGGTGTTTCCAGGACAGAAAGCGAAGGGAATCTCCTATATGGAACACAGGCAGTAGATGAACTTTAATTGTATGAGGTAAGGGTTCTTTGCTGTTAGAGCAGAGCTTTTTTTTGTTGAAGGGAAGGATTCTTTGCTGTTAGAGTAGGGTTTATTCGTTGGAGTTAGGGATTCTTTGCTGTTAGAACAGGGCTTATTTGTTGGAAGTAGGGATTCTTTGCTGTTAGAGCAGGGCTTATTTGTTGGAGGTAGGGATTCTTTGCTGTTATAGCAGGGCTTATTTGTTGGAAGTAGGGATCCTTTGCTGTTAGAGCATGGCTTATTTGTTGGAAGTAGGGATCCTTTGCTGTTAGAGCATGGCTTATTTGTTGGAAGTAGGGATTCTTTGCTGTTAGAGCATGACTTATTTGTTGGAAGTAGGGATCCTTTGCTGTTAGAGCATGGCTTAGTTGTTGGAAGTAGGGATTCTTTGCTGTTAGAGCATGGCTTAGTTGTTGGGTATAATGGTTCTCTGCTCTTAGAGCAAAGCCTATTTGTTGAAAGTAATGGTTCTTTGCTTTTAGAACAGAGCCTATTTGTTGAATATAAGGGTTCTTTTCTGTTAGAGCAGAGCATATTTGTTGAAGGATTTTTGCTGTTAAGAAAGGGTTCAGGTAGCGATTTGTTTCTACCCATGACAGTAAAGGACAGAGGGTGACTAATTTTTATGTCACAGCATCACCTTGTCCATCAATATTAGTAGAGCGCACTTAGGGCCCTTTCACTCCTAACACAATGGGATGCTGTTGGATGCTCTTTGGACTGCACTCCAACTGCACAGACAGTCCAAAATCCAGGCGATCCTAAGGGCATAGTCCACACCATTGCAGTGCAGAACACATACAAATACACTGCAATGCATCACAGTGCACCTAGAAGCCCAAGGAAAGAAAAGAAAGTGACCTCACAGGTCAAATGCAGATAGAAAAGTGCGCATCAACTGCATGTAAAACATGCATCAAATGCATGCATAGGTACAAGCAGGGCCGTAGGTAAGGGGGTACCATCAGTCCTCCTGTACAGGGCCCAGGCTAGCAGGGGGCCCAGGCAAGTAGGTGAATGGGATGTGGGCAGGAAGGGTAATCAGCACAGCATGGGGGGGCAATTACTGGAACCAACCCCCTGTGTGGCTCTCCCTGCAGCAGCTTAAAGCTGGATTCTTCTCCTCTCCTGGCTTTCAGCTGCTGTAGAGAGAGACATACAGGGGATTGGTTCCAGTAATTGCCCCTCCGCCACACCCATCTCCCTCCCTGTGCACCATAAGTTTCTCCCTGCTGCCCAAGCCCCCCTGTGTGTCCCCACCCCCCGCAGTGCTGCCAGCTTCCCTCCTCTTTCCCACCTCCAGCTGAAAGCACACAATAGGATCCTTCAAGATGGGGGAAGGAATATATCACATTTACCAGCCCCTTCCTTTCCTGAATGAACACAATGAGTGATCGGTACTGATCGCTCCTTATGTTCATTCATAACGGAAGCATAGTAAACAGAGTTTTTTTTTCTTTTGAGGGGGGGGGGGCCTGTCAGGTTGGCTGTTTGGTACTTATCACTCATTCATAACAGAAGCATAGTATACAGAGGGTTTTTTTTTTTGGTGGGGGGGGCCTGTGAGGTTGGCTGTGTGGTACTTAACACTCATTCATAACAGAAGCATAGTAAACAGAGGGGTTTCTTTGGGGGGGGGGGGCTGTCAGGTTGGCTGTATGGGGCCTTGTGGTTTCTAACAGCAGCCCTGGGTACAATGACCCCCACAGTTACGTGCAGTTTCTGGTGTGAATGGGCCCTTAGCACACACAGTGTTCATAAATCCTCACGATGTACAAAAGACTGAGAATATATCTCATGTTTTTTTTTGTGTATTCTGGTTTATTTTATTATGGGCAGAAAAACTCCAGGACCCCTTTGATTGGCAGTCCGGGACTGTGCTGTGCTGATCTATTTTAAAGATCTCATTTATTTTTAATCAAAAATCGATTTAATTGATTCATTCAGTCATTCATTCATTAATTTATTCACCTTCTTATTATCACAAATGGTTTGATTTTTTTTAAATATATTCGAAAGATCTCATAACTTTTCCTGTCCGTCCCAGATTAAGGAGCGTCTGGAGGAGCTGCAAGGGATGCTGAGCTGGGTTCTGATGAGATGGCGATGCCAGAAACACCCGAGGATCATGGGGAATAAGACTCCAAGGACCAGGGAGGCTGTAGAGCCCGCCCAGACGGTAAGCGACCAATCCGAGAACAATTCACAGAAATAACTCCAAGTAAGAATTGTACACACATTGGACAAACAGGACGAGCTTGCCAGGGTTTCATGTCATCAAAGGGTGTACATTGTCATCAATTGACTACAAAGTATCTAAATTGGGCAGCACAGTGGCTAAGTGGTGAGCACTTCCGCCTGGCAGTACTAGGGTCGTTGGTTCAAATCCCAACCACAGCACCACCTGCCTGGAGTTTGCATGTTCTCCCTGTGCCTGCGTGGGTTTCCTCCGGGTACTCCGGTTTCCTCCCACACTCCAAAGACATGCTGGTAGGTGAATTGGATCCTGTCTACATTGTCCCTAGTATGTGTATGTATGAATGTGAGTTAGGGACCTTAGATTGTACGCCCCTTGAGGGTTAGGGACCTTAGATTGTACACCCCTTGAGGGTTAGGGACCTTAGATTGTACACCCCTTGAGGGTTAGGGACTGATGTGAATGTACAATATATATGTAAAGCGCTGCGTAAATTGACAGCACTATATAAGTACCTGAAATAAATAAATACATTTCAACAGTCAGCAAAATGGCATGTCCTAGTAAATGTAATGATCGTACCTGCACTGCGTACAAAAATAACATACCCACAGCCGTGTTTTTAATTGTATGTACCCAGAGCCACCAATCAGATTCAAGCAATCTAGTTCTAATGCAGAATAAACAGCTGATATCTGATTGGTCACTTTTGCCATCACAGGCTATTACTTTACATCTTACACAACAGTCTCCTAATATATTAAAAAGAAAAAGAAAAACAAAAAGAATGCCTCAATATTCACACAGCTGTCAAGAATAATAACCCCCATAATGTGTCTGAAATGTGTATTTCCTATGATTGTCAGCTCCATCTAGTGGCCAGTATGCGCAATTTTCCTGCTGACAGTATTTCGGAAAAATACAGCATTTGGCCACTAGATGGAGCTGATGATCATGGGAAATACACCTATTAGACACATTATTGGGATTATTTGTGGCAGCTGTGTGAATGTTGAGGTATTCGCACAGTAAATTTTTTGTTAAATAGACCCCATTGTATATTGTCTGAATTGTTGTATAGTATAGTATAGTCATATAATATTATATGTTCTATAGTATAGTACAGGGGCGGACTGATAACTCATGGGGCCCCCAGGCAATAGGGGATCATGGGGCCCCTGTGTCCTTGCCCACACTCAAAGCACACCCAAAAAAGCCTATAAAAGGTACCAGGGGCATTTCATGGGCCTCCCTACTGACCCCGGGCCCTCGGGCAGTGCCCGAGTGCTCGAATGGTCAGTCCGCCCCTGGTATAGTATATATACATAGTATATTGTCTGCATTATATGAAGTATAATTTATATAAAGTATATTGTTTGCATTGTTCTATAGTATATACCTAGTATATCGTCTGTGTTTTTATATAGTATATACAGTTGTGCCATACTCTTTCCATTTTCAGATGATGGATTGAACAGTGCTCCTTGAGATGTTCAAAGCTTGGGAGATTTATTTATAATCTAACCCTGCTTTAAACTTTTCCACAACTTTATCCCTGACCTGTCTGGTGTGTCCCTTGGCCTTCATGATGCTGTTTGTTCTCTAATGTTCTCTAACAAACCTCTGAGGGCTTCACAGAACAGCTGTATTTATACTGAGATCACATGACACACAGGGGGACTCGTTTTACTAATTAGGTGATTTCTGAAGGCAATTGGTTCCACTAGATTTTAGTTAGGGGTGTCAGAGTAAAGGGAGCTGAATACAAATGCACGCCACACTTTTCAGATATTTATTTGTAAAAAATTTTTGAAAACCATTTATCATTTTCCTTCCACTTCACAATTATGTGCCACTTTGTGTTGGTTTATCACATAAAATCCCAATAAAATACATTGACGTTTTTGGTTGTAACATGACAAAAAGTGGAAAATGTCAAGGGGTATGAATACTTTTTCAAGGCACTGTACATAGTATATTGTCTGTATTGTTATAAATTATAGTGTATACACATTATATTGTCTGTCTTTTCATATATTATACATGGTATATTGTCTGTATTGTTCTATAGTATAGTATAGTAGATACCAGGGGCGGACTGACCATTTGGAAACTCGGGCACTGCCTGAGGGCCCGGGGTCAGTAGGGGGCCCATGAGATGCCTCTGGAACCTTTTAATGATGTCATGAGCATCCCCACCCATACATGCAGTTGCAGGATGGGGAATCCAGCAATGACAGCCAAATTCAGGGTTAGCATTGAACCCAAGCTAATCCCTAGTTCCTATAACTAATTAGAACCAGGGGCGGACTGACCAATTGGAAACTCGGCACTGCCCGAGGGCCCGGGGTCAGTAGGGGGCCCCATGAGATGTCCCTGGTACCTTTTTCATAGGCTTTTTTGAGTTTGGGCAAGGACACAGGGGCCCCATGATCCCCTATTGCCCGGGGGCCCCATGAGTTGTCAGTCTGCCCCTGGTAGATACATAGTATATACTGTATATGCCATTATATAGTATAAAATGTCCGTCTATATTTGGTTAATTTGAATGGTCCAATAAAGAGAAGTTTAATTCCACAGGAGGACATGCAGCATACTCAAGGGTCCATCCAATCCAACAAGCCTGAGTGCCCAGAAGACACCACATCTGCTCCGCCCCTGAGGGGCCCTGTACGGCGCAGATACAGGCGAAAGGCATTGAGCCCCATGTTATTTCAGCAGCCGCTCAGGTTGTCAGGAGGAACAGACAATGAGGAGGGGGCAGAGATACTTGAAGATGCCCCAGGAAGTGTGCAGATGGACCATTGTGGCTGGAACCCAAAGTATTACCAACAGGACCAGAAATTGTGGAACCAGAGGAGGAGGAACCACTGGTGGTAAGAAGCATCTGATTGGTGGATAAGAATAATGACAGCACTTCCTAGGTCAGCCCACAGGGACCATCCTAGGTGGTGACAAGGAAGAGCAGGTCTGATGCTGTGGAGGAGCTACAAGTATCAGCATGCCTAATGGCAGGAGATGTTATTCCATTTCAGACCACACCCCTGTAAATATTACAGGGACTTTTTTTTTTTTGAGCATAAGATATTTAGAGTGTAGCTAAACCTTGAGTTTGGTTGGGATGGGGAAGGGTCCATTCTTCTGTCAGTGTCCCATTGGGTAGATCAGCATTTCTCAACCTGTTTTTCAGTCTCGGCACCCTTTAACTATGCAGAATCCCAAGGCACCTCAGCCTAAAAAAAAAAAAAAAAAATGTGAATGTTACTTATAAGAAATCAGAAACCTGAGCCTGTGGCCATGTACACAACCGCTTTGATGAAACTAGATTCACAGCAGAGGTCCCCCATCACAGTCAATGTTTTGTTCCCCCTTTACACCAGAAGAACCCCTTTTACACAAGAGGTCTCCCCATCACATCGGAGTTCCCTTTCACAACAGAGGCCCCACTTCATGCCAGAAGTTCCATTACATCAAAAGTCCCCCCCTAACATGAGAGCTCCCATTTCATATCAGAGGTCACCATCACGTAAGAGGTTCCACCTTCACATCCAAGGACTCCCATTACCTTAGAGGACCCCCCCTCCAACACAGTAAAGTCCCACCTTCACATCAGAGGCCCACCTCATGTCAGAACTCCGCATTCATGCGAGAGGTCTCCCCATTGCATCAAAGGTCCCCCCATAACATCGAGCTCTGCCTTCACATCACAGGTCACCTATAGGTAAGAGGCCCCACCTTCACATCCAAGGACTCCCATTACCTTAGAGGACCCTCCACTCCAACACAATAAAGTCCCCCCCTTCACATCAGAGGCCCACATCATGTCAGAACCCCGCATTCATGCCAGAGGTCTCCTCATTGCATCAAAGGTCCCCCCATAACATCAGAGCTCCACCTTCACATCACAGGTCACCTTCACGTAAGAGGCCCCACCTTCACATCCAAGGACTCCCTTCACCTTAAAGGACCTCCCCCTCCAACACAATAAAGTCCCCCCCTTCACATCAGAGGCCCACATCATGTCAGACCCCCCATTCATGCCAGAGGTCAACCCTTTGCATCAAAGGTCCCCCCATAACATCAGAGCTCTGCCTTCACATCACAGGTCACCTTCACGTTAGAGGCCCCACCTTTGCATCCAAGGACTCCCATCACCTTAGAGGACCCCCCCCCCCAACACAGTAAAGTCCCCCCTTCACATCAGAGGCCCACATTATGTCAGAATTTCCCCCCCCATTCATGCCAGAGGTCTCTCCATTGCATCAAAGGTCCCCCAATAACATCAGAGCTCTGCCTTAACATCACAGGTCACCTTCACATAAGGGGCCCCACCTTCACATCCAAGGACTCCCATCACCCTAAATGACCCCCCCCCCCCACACACACACGCACAATAAAGTCTCCCATTCACACCAAAGGCCCACATCAGGTTAGAGTTCCCCCTTTACATCAAGGCTGTCCTTTTACATCTGGCCCCCCCCAATCACATCACAGGTACTCGCTTTTCATCAGCGTCTCCCCTTCATATCAGAAACCACACTTCACATTACAGGTCCCCCCATCCTATCAGGGGTCCTCCCTTCATGTCAGAGGCCCCCATCATATCAGGTCAACCCTTCGATTTAGAGGCCCACCCAACACCTATTACATCACAGTCCTACTTATACATAAGAGTCTCCTCATCAGAATCCTCTCATTCATCTCCAATTCGGGGCAAACTGGGTCTCGTGCTCGTGGCCCCAGAGGAACCCCAACACTGGGGTAGATTCACTCTCTCTATTTGTCCTTGTCACCAATTTCCCAGGGATAGGAAGCCATAAGAAATGCAGAATTTTACAGTAATTTTGTGGGATTTCTTCAGACCTCCCAGAGTGCCTCCAGCACCTAAAATGAAGGGAAATCTCCCCAACAGGACACAGCGAGAAATAAAACATAGACAGAGGTGGCAGGTATCCCCTACTCCATTTTTTTTTTTTTTAAAGTTTGGACTTTAGGCATACTTTCAGGTGAGGTGTTATTGCCACTTTATTTTCTGTGTATGGTCGGAATTGTTTCCAGAGATATTGGTGAACGTCTTTAGCAGCGCAGTTCTGATGGGTCGCAGTTTCCATGTCTATCCTTTAATCCTCTCTCCTGTCTTCCCGGCTGTCTTATCAGGGCTTTTTTCAGCAGAAACGTAGGGGAACGCAGTTCCGGCACCCCAGAAATGAATATATGTAATGGCAAGGGGTGCTGGGGTACTGCTAGCTGCTGGGGAATCTATTGTCACTGGAGGGGATCTATTTTTGCATGGGGATCTATTGTTGCTGGTGGGGAATTTATTGTTGCTGAGAGAGATCTATTGTTGAGGGAGAAGTCTATTGATGTTGGTTGCAGGGGGTATCATATGTTGTTTTTGGGGTGGTATTTTGTTGCAGGGGGTCCATTGTTGCTGGGGGGGGGGGTCTGTTTTTGTGGGGGGAATCTATTTTTCTGGGGGAGGGGCATCTGTTGTCGCTGGGTGCAGAGGAACTATTTTACTGCTTTTCTTGTTATCATTAACAAATTCCATAAAAATTACTTAGCGTCACAAAAATGACACTTGGCTCTGTGTTCTCTAAAAGGGGCGGTACTGGGAGGTGGGTAGGGGATGGAAGCAAGAAATGGTGCTCAGAGGTGGGTAGGGGAAGGAACCAAGAGACGGTTCTCGGAGGTGGGTAGGGGGTGGAACAAAGAGACAGTGCTTGGAGGTGGGTAGGGGTTGGAACCAAGAGACTGTGCTCGGAGGTGGATGGGGGTGGAACTAAGAGACGGTGCTCGGTGGTGGGTAAGGAGTGGAATCAAGAAACGGTTCTCAGAGGTGGGTAGGGGTTTGAACCAAGAGACGGTGCTTGGAGATGGGTAAGGGGTGGAACAAAGAGACAGTTCTCGGAGGTGGGTAGGGGGTGGAACCAAGAGATGGTGCTAGGAGGTGGGTAAGGAGTGGAATCAAGAAACGGTTCTCAGAGGTGGGTAGGGGTTGGAACCAAGAGACGGTGCTTGGAGATGGGTAAGGGGTGGAACAAAGAGACAGTTCTCGGAGGTGGGTAGGGGGTGGAACCAAGAGATGGTGCTAGGAGGTGGGTAGGGGGTGGAACTAAGAGACGGTGCGCAGAGGCGGGTCGGGGGGGAGACATTGGCTCAAGGTGGGGGGGTGGAACCAAGAGATGCTGCCCGAAGGTGGGTAGGGGAAGGAACAAAGGGATGGTGCTCGGAGGTGGGTAGGGGAAGGAACCAAGAGATGGTGCTCGGAGGTGGGTAGGGAATGGAACCAGAGATGGTGCTCGGAGGTGGGTAGGGGGGGAACCAAGAGGGTGCTCGGAGGTGGGTAGGCAATGGAACCAAGAGACAGTGCTAGGAGGTAGGTAGGGGATGGAACCAAGAGACGGTGCTCGGAGGTGGGTAGGCGATGGAACCAAGAGAAGGTGCTCGGAGGTGGGTAGGGGATGAAACCAAGAGACGGTGCTCGGAGGTAGGTAGGGGAAGGAACCAAGGGTAGGTACTTGGAGGTGGATAGGGGATGGAACCAAGAGACGGTGCTTGGAGGTGGGTACGGGATGGAACCAAGAGTTGGTTGCTCAGGGGTGGGTAGCGGATGGAACCAAGAGATGGTGCTCAGGGTTGGGTAGCGGATGGAACCAAGAGATGGTGCTCAGAGGTGGGTAGGGGAAAAGAAACCAAGGGACGGTGCTTGGAGGTGAATAGAGGGTGGTGACAAGGGGTTACTCAGAAGGGGGGAGTTCCTGCACCTATTCTCTGAGGAAAAAAAGCCCTGTGTCTAATCATCTCTCTCTCTAATCTGTCTTCCCCTCCCCCCTCATCAGCCGTCACCCCCTAAATCATTCTGGAAGCGCTGTCAGGGGATAATAGGGGGAACCTTCGGCAGCCTAAAGAGAAAGAAAAGAGTTTCGCTTCCCGTGGTGGAGGAGGTAACGCCGACCAGAGTGCGCTGTGCCGTGCCATAACAGCATGCTGTGATTTGTCCATTAACTCCACCCTAAACTGAATGACGCCAACAAGTGCTGGCCACAGATAAAGGTCGCCACTATAGCGCTGCACCATTTTCCCTTATTTGGCTGCTTTATTCATTTATTAATTCTATTTTATCCTTTATAAAAGTGTGAAATGGAAAGTTTAATTGTCGAAATTTACAGTTTATCAAAATGCCAAGAAGTAGAATGTCATGTATTGCAGATTACCAGGACGTAGGTGAAATGTGACCCTGTGTGCTGTGAAATTTTGGTGTGTTGTGGAATTAGTGCTTTTTATGGGGGGGCGGGGGGGTGGGTTGTTCTGATCTGAATGTCATAAAACTGTGTAGAAATCTCTGTTCGGCTAATTGGTCTTATCTCAGCGTTCCTCTCTTATCATGCATGGTGGCTGCAGTGAATTGGGCCAGCTGGAGGGGAACAACTGGCATCAAATTACGGCTACATTAAGGCTTGGCCATACATTATATCATTTTCTCGTACAATTTTCCTTTAGTTTTACCAAAACCATATAATATGAGGTCAAACCTAAACACTTTCAGTTGTATGCAGTCAGGCAGTCCCATCCACTACATGCAAGTTGATGGTAAATCTAAAGGAGATTGAATCAGAAAATTGTATAGTGTATGACCAGTTTTAGGGGAACAACCAGCGACACGATTCTCATTAACTCTCAGTCCTCACGCACACGGGACCTTTTTACAGCGGCTGTTTTTGGCTTTTGACGTTTTTTTCTACAGCCAGTAAACCCCCCCAGCCAGGGGTGGACTGACAACTCATGGGGCCCCTGGGCAATAGGGGATCATGGGGCCCCTGTGTCCTTGCCCACACTCAAACTACACCCAAAAAAGCCTATGAAAGGTACCAGGGGCATCTCATGGGGCCCCTTACTGACCCCGGGCCCTCGGGCAGTGACCAAGTACCCTAAAGGTCAGTCCGCCCCTGCCCCCAGCATGTTCTCCTATGTGTCCATATACACAGAGACTGGAATCAACGTTTTTTGCCAGGGGCGAGTGGGTTTCTAGAGCAGTTTGTTAGCTGTAAAAGCGCTCTAAAGCTAAAAAAAAAAAAAAAAAGCGGCAAAAACTTGGTAAATTGTGGCAAACTGGCGTTTTTGGACTTTTTTGTATTTTTTTGGTTAAAAAAAAAAACCCTAAAAACCGCAAACGTGAAAAAAAATGCGAAAAAAACAACGCTAAACGCTAATGTAAACACGCTAAAAAAAGCTGAAAAAACTCAATGTTTTTTTTTTTTGGTTAAAAAAAAACCCTAAAAACTGCAAACGTGAAAAAAAACTTGAAAAAAACGCTGCTAAACGCTAATGCAAAAACGCTGAAAAAACTCACGGGTTTTTTTTTTTTGATTAAAAAAAACCCTAAAAGCTGCAAAGGCAAAAAAAGTAAAAAAAACGCCGCTAAACGCTGAAAAACAGATTTTTTTTTGGTTAAAAAACCCCTAAAAACTGCAACGGTGAAAAAAAGTGAAAAAACTCAGCTAAACGCTAATGTAAACGCTAAAAAAAGCTGAAAAACTCAATGTTTTTTTTTTTTGGTTAAAAAAAAACCCTAAAAACTGCAAACGTGAAAAAAACTTGAAAAAACGCTGCTAAACGCTAATGCAAAAACGCTGAAAAAACTCACGGGGTTTTTTTTTTGGTTAAAAAAACCCCTAAAAACGCTGCAAAGGCAAAAAAAGTAAAAAAAACGCCGCTAAACGCTGAAAAACAGATTTTTTTTGGTTAAAAAAAACCCTAAAAACTGCAACGGTGAAAAAAAGTGAAAAAACTCAGCTAAACGCTAATGCAAAAATGCTAAAAAATTGCTGAAAAACTCACGGGTTTTCTTTTGGGTTAAAAAAACGCCTAAAAACTGCAAACGTGAAAAACACTTGAAAAAACACACGCTACACACTAATGCAAAAAACGCTAAAAAAAAGCTGAAAAACTCACGGGGTTTTTTTTGGTTAAAAAAACCCAAAAACTTAAAACGTGAAAATAAATGCCGCTAAACGGTAGTGCAAAAAACGCAAAAAAACGCTGAAAAGCTCACAGGTTTTTTTTGGTTAAAAAAACCCCTAAAAACTGCAAAGGCAAAAAAAGTGAAAAAACGCCGCTAAACACTAATGCAAAAACGCTATAAAAACACTGAAAAACAGTTTTTTTGGTTAAAAAAAAACGCCTAAAAACCGCAGACACGAAAAAAACGCAAAAAAAGCCACTAAACACTAATGCAAAAACGCTAAAAAAAACGCTGAAAAAACTCACGGGGTTTCCCTAAAAACCGCAAACACAAAAAAAATGCCGCTAAACGGTAATGCAAAAATGCAAAAAAATGCTGAAAAACTCACAGGTTTTTTTTGGTTAAAAATAACCCCTAAAAAACTGCAAAGGCAAAAAAAGTGAAAAAAAAAAACGCTAAACACTAATGCAAAAACGCTAAAAAATCGCTGAAAAACTCACGAGGTTTTTTTTTTTGGTTAAAAAAACCCTAAAAACCGCAAAACGCGAAAAAAACGTGGCAAAACTCCGCTAAACGGTAATGCACAAACGCTAAAAAATGCTGAAAAACTCCCGTTTTTAACGTGAATTTACACAGCTAACGTTACCGGCGTTATTCAAACGCCCCGCGTGCGTGGAGACTCATATGGTGTAGAAAGTTTAGATTTTAAGGGGTGTATAAAAAAATGTCTTCCAGCAAAACTGCATGTTCTGTCGGCAAAAATTGGATGTTACTAGGCTATGTTTCCTCCAGGTCAGAAGTTCTTCATCATCAGAATAGTGTGAATTACAGAAATACCTCATTATGGCCACTAGATGGAAATGATGACCAGAGAAAATCAATACTTATTTCCTATGATCGTCATCTCCATCTAGTGGCCATAATGTGCAAATCTCTGTACCATCAGGGACATTTCTCTTCCCTTTCCTTCCATTTCAGAGACACAGTAGGAAGTAGCATAAGGTCCTTCCAAAACAACATCCTCTCCTAGATTGTTGTCACCGGAACACTGAAAAATTTTACCTGTGACAACTTCAAATTTTACATACCAGAGACGGTAGGCATCTGGACCAATAATGTGGGTAAATCCCCCCAGCGAGAAAAATTTGCTTGTGACAACTTCAAAATTTACAGACAAGAGATAATGGGCACTGGGACCCGATAATGTGGGTGAATCCCCCCAGCGAGAACACAGACGGCAATACAAACCTGAGAAATATCATGAAAAGAAAACCACTCTGGTGTCAAAGATGTCCGAAACAAAAGCAGCTGCAAACACACTATAGTGAGATATCCAACATAGTCATAAATAGAACTTGTTGCACCAATCAGTGGATTCACACAAAGATATAAATATCAAAGGCATAGAAAGTCCCTAGAATAATAATGTGATAGTCCACAAAGTGCAAAAATGTCATACAATATTCCACCAAAGAATCCTATTATAGCTGCCACACCAGACCTGAAGTCATATTGTTGTAATGCCCTGGAAGACATTGCATAGGACGAAACGCGTAGGAAAGAGCTACATGCTGACGTCATCACTCATGGCTGGAAGTGGTGACTTATAAATTACCAGGCTACCTGCTGCCCAGTGGAGACGCGGGGGGGGGGGGGGGGGGGGGAGACGAGGCAGACATGGAGTATTTCAACACATGATTTATATGACTACTCTTTAACTAGGGAGTCATGTCTGCTAAGCCTGCATCCTTGACCACTTGGTGGAGGCCTTGGGTCTGTCGTGGAACCAATAATAAGATTTCTCTGGTGGGATATTTCTTCACATTTATGCACTTTGTGGACTTTTACATTATTATTCTTGGGACTTGTTATGCTTTTGATATTTTCATATGTGTGTGAATCCACTGATTAGCGCAACACGTTTTATTGATTATAGCAATACAAACCTGACAGGGGTCCTAACCCTTCCACAGTCCATCCAGAACATGTATTTCTACATAGAGCCGTATGATTGATATCTGAATGTTGGAAACATCTGCACAGCAGCACTCAGTCTGGGGAAGAGAGGCCCAAGCTAATCAGGACTCTATTCCTTAATACAATCTATTCAGTCTAACACAGGGAACATGACTGCAGGAGGAGAGAGTCCAGGAATAATATTAATAATATGCAGCTGGCCCATCAATGTCCAATCACAGGCTCGGATGGGTCCTAGAAGAGCATTGTCTACAGGAAGGTCCAGGATTTGGCTGTATCATCTATAGGGGTACCTGATGATAGAGCTGGCTAATCAGAATTAAACATTGACATATGTGTAGTTCAGCAAACATACTTAGATTTATGTCTATAGTGCAGCTTTAACTACCATCTACGGCAACTTTTCTCAACCTTTTCAACACAGAGGAACCTTTGAAATAGCTTTCCAGTCTCAGGTCTCAGTCCCTGCTAAAAATTACTATATATACAACTCTTAATACATTAGTGTGGTGGTCGGTGGGAAGAATGCTCTTTACCCTTGTGGTCATTGGGAAGAATTACCCCCAGATAGCTAAAAAAGTCAGTGGGAACTTAAGTGAGAGGCAGAAATTGCTCAAGGAATCGCTGGCAATCTCTGGAGGAACCTTAGGGTTCCATGAAACCCTGGTTGAGAAACCCTGCTCTAATGGTTTGGAATATTCTCCTACATGTATCTAGGTTTCCCCCTTCCCTACACCTTCTCATCACTTTGTTCATCATCTCCATATTTCTGAACTGTCCCACTCATCACTTTTTCTTTCATCCAGGTTTCTCGCTCATCACTTTCCCTTTTAACCAGGTCTGTCTCATTTATGAGTTCCTCATCTGTGTCTGGAGTTCCACTTTCTTCGTCCTACCTTACTTATTCTCTCCAGAGTCTGTTCCTTTCTTTGTCTCATGTCCCATATTGCCTCTCTCTCCGATGTCTACTCACTCTTCATTTTCTACCTTCTGTGGTTTATCTCCCTCTTGCTTTTTGCAGTCTCATTTCTGACGCTTCATTATCTGTCAGTGATCCCTATCTGTCATTCTTTCTCATGCCTTACTTATCACTTTGTCCGTTCGCAGGTCAGCACCTACTTGAATGCAAAGGAAGGTGAAGGACCAGATGCATGCCAAAGCTTGACCTTGCCACGACCATCCAAAAAAAGTCGGTCATCTGAACAATACACTTTGATATCTACAAATGACTCAAAAAATAGATCCAGTTTACTTTTTAGGAGCCTCAAGAGAAAGGAAAAGGCACAAAGGTGCACAGTGCAAGGGATTATGGACCTGTACTCTGATAAGAAACCCATTACCGAAGACAGCACCAAATATGAAACCTCCACCTGGCCTCCCAAGCTTGACAGGACAACCCCAGAACCTGACTTTAAGAATTTTCTCAGTTATGTCAAAAATCCACTGACAAAGGAGATTGATGCTGAATGTGCTGTTTCCAGGGGAAATAACAAGCAAACTGAAGTGGAAAGCCTTAGTTCCACCAAACCAATCCCCCAGGCCACCTGTCCACATCTGACATTGGGTTCTGTCTTGGTTTTGGATCTCTCCAAAGAATCTAGTTTTCAGGACAACATTCAGGAGTCACTTCGAATTGAACCTGGTAAAGACAGTGGGCCCTGCCATGTTTTAGATTCTGGGCATGCAGATGAAATAAAAAGTACAGAAATTGCAGAGCCAAACAAAGAGGACAGTAACCTCCAAGACTCCATGAATTCATTCCAGTCACCGTGTACAAAGTCATGGATTGAAGCATTAACATCCAGCCCTGGCTATTGCAGGCAAAACATACATGGCTATGGAAAGCTGGAAGACACTTCACGACCACAGGGCCTAGATCAGCTAAACGATGACTTTATCAATTTTCAGATAGATAGACTTTCACCCACTGGTGTTTTCCATCATCTGGAATCTGGGAGGAATGGACAAAGAACAGACTCAAATTTGGGTGAAATGCAGTATGTAAGAACATCCAGTCCTTCAGAGGACAACCACACCTCCAAATATCAGAATGGAGTTGGTACTGTCACCTCAGCCATCTTCCCAAAAGCTCTAGATGGTGTAAAGCCTTATAACCATGACATGAATAATTCTACCTATGTAGAGTTTGTCAGAACGTATGATGCAAAACCCAGCTCTCTAAATGAGTCTTACAGTTCACCCAATAACCCACCCAAAAAGAAGACTGATAAGAAGGTTGCTTCTCATTCGTTCCCCGAAGTGCTCCACCCCGATCAGGAGTTTCTGGAGCATGATGATAAGGAGCTGGAAGACATCTGGAATAAAGCTAAACAGGGGCAACTAGATAGCCCAGTCCAGAAACCTCACATTGTATCACTCAAAGCAAATGAAGGAGACCAGTTGACCAAAGCAAATCAAGAGACCCCAAGTCACAAAGCACCAAGTGGCCAAGTAATCGTGAGGTCGGAGCCAAACATGTTGGTGGCCACATTTACTTTGCCCACCTCAGTTCCCTTATCTACAGACTCCGGCATGGAGAAGGACCAAAGGGAAGACAGAAGTCTGATTCAAGAAAGAGTGATGTCCACCGCAACCCTCACGGAGAGTAATCAAGTGGGGAAATGTCCGCAAACATCAGGGAAAGAGCCACATGCTCTGAAGAATAAGTCTGATAAAGTGGAGACGTCCATAACCACGGTGAGATGAGTTCTGAGTGTTTATGATGGAGCTTCTCCGTTTATTTTCTTGGGTGGTTCCATGCTTGAAACCAAATGGAATACGTAGGAAGATGTGACCAGAGACACAACCAGGAGGTTGACTTGCCACAATCAACTAGCAATTCATATTCCTATGACAGAACTATTTTAATAGGGGCAAAAAGTTAATTGGCTCCAGGTCCACCTATGCAGGGCTCCACCAAGGGTCTGGCATGTAATAGAAACTCAGAAAGTTTAAAGTAGATTTTTTTTTTCATTTTGGGGATTGTTTCAACTGCTGTTGGTTTATTTTTTTTATTTTTTTTTGCAATATGTGCCACGTTGCAGAGATTTACCTTTACGTCCTGTCCCATAGCCAAAAACAGGAAGTGAGAAGAAATCCCTGCAAATTAAAAGAATTGTTTGGGGACCCCCAGGCCAGCGTCCTCATTGGAAGATCGACCCTATTTTTCTGGGGAAAACCCAAAATATGAGATTTTCTTTTTCTTTCACTTTCAATGATAAGAGTAAGCAGGACAAATAGAGAGGGTGAATCTCCCTCATGGGGGCACAGACAGCAATAAAAACCTGACAGGGGTTCTAATCCCTCTCCACTCTATCCAGAACTAAACAAAATGTTTTGCCTTTAGTTATATTTTAAGGTTTAAGTGATCCTTTTTATTGGATTTATTAAAGATGTAAGCTCACATCGGATTTCTTCTTGAGACATGCTCTTTGCTTCTTGTCTGGTTTTTGCATTCTGAAGGAATAGGCTGCCTTACCCCCCCGGCGGTATACCTGAGTGTAGCTCGGGGTAAAGTTTCAGCGCCACAAGCGGTAACCCCCCCGAGCTACACTCAGGAATACACTGCGGCGCTGCTCTGCGATCTCTTCTGCACTTACCTTGTCCTGCGCTCCCGCGATGTCCCCCCTGCAGTGTCCCCTGCAATGTCCTCCGGCCGATGCCGGCATCTGTCTTCCGGGGTCTGTTCCCTGCGACGTCGGGACATACGGGGGACTGAACTGGCGGGAAATTTGAAAATTGTAGAAGTGACATTCACTAAATACACTAAAATCACATAGTATAACATTCCTGTATCAAACCATTTCACATACATTTTGTCCCGAGTGCTTTGTCCTGCGCCCTGCCTGCATTATTACTGTTCTTTCTGCCTGGAAACTGAGAAACGTCCATGGCGTCCAAAAAGCGTCCCTTTAGGTCAGACGCGGTTTTAGACCGGCTAGAGAACAGCGATAGTAAATCAGAACCACTTGCAGAATTGAGTGATAATGATTCGTGGGGGAAATTCCTCATCAGACACTGAAAACGATTCTGCGACTGAGCTCAGCTCAGCGATGTGCGAACTTGGCGCTATATTTCACATTTCAGTGTTTTTATTTTGATTATATTATTGAATTAAATTTATTATTATTGTATTATTATTTTTTTATGATTATTTATTAAATTACAATTTATGATTTCGGGTTTCAAATTTTATCCTACCCGAGATGTTTACTAGACTCTTGTTCGGACAGATTTCAGTGAGTTATTCCTAAAAATTACAGGCCTACAATAAAAAAATACATATTTCCATGCAAAAAAATGTACCGCTTTGAGCACAGAAATACTGACATAATCAGACCGCTAGGGAGGCTACAGAAAAAACTCTGGGATAGGTAAAAAAAGTCACGCATTAGTACACCCCCTACACAAAACACTAAACATTTAATACAATTCTGAAAATCCTTACCATGTAAGAGAAAAGTCTGATTGAATTTTCATGACCTCATCTCTGTAATTCAAAAGATAACAGCATCTGCTCTGCCAAGGAGGAGGTGTAACAGCCGGAATTACATCATATCCCTTTTTTTCTCAGAGAATAAGTGCAGGTACCCCCCCCTTTTCTGAGTCACCCCTTTTCTGCACCCCCTAACAACCTCTGAGCACCATCCCTTGGTTCCACCCCCTACCTATCTCCCAATACCGCCCCTTTTAGAGAATTCAAAAGTATAATTTTGTGGAATTTGTATGGAATTTGTCAATGATAACAAGAACATTTAGATCCTCTGCAGCTAACAACAATAGACCAAAATACATACAGGCGTACCTCTGTTTACGAATTGAATGCGTTCTGCGGGACTTTCCGTATTGCGAAAAATTCGTAAACCGAAACACGATTTCCCATAGGAATGCAGTGAAAACCCATTAATCTGTTCAGGAGGTCAGAAAAAAAGTTAAAAAAAAGTCTTTTTTATCGGTTCAAAACTCTTTATAAAGTGCACTTTAAAGGCATAAATACTGTACATGGACATGATTAATCATTATTTCATAAATGCATTGAAAACCAATTAATCTGTTCATATTGCGAAAAAAGTTTGTAAATGCATTGAAAACCAATTATTCCATTCTGGAGGTCAGAAAAAAGTAACAAAAAAGTCTTATCTGTTCAAAACTCTTTATAAAGTGCACTTTAAAGGCATAAATACTGTACATGGACATGATTAATCATTATTTCATAAATGCATTGAAAACCAATTAATCTGTTCATATTGCGAAAAAAGTTTGTAAATGCATTGAAAACCAATTATTCCATTCTGGAGGTCAGAAAAAAGTAACAAAAAAGTCTTATCTGTTCAAAACTCTTTATAAAGTGCACTTTAAAGGCATAAATACTGTACAAGGACATGATTAATAATTAATTCATAAATGCATTGAAAACCAATTAATTCGTTCCAGAGGTCAGAAAAAAGTAAAAAAAAAAGTCTTATCTGTTCAAAACTCTTTATAAAGTGCACTTTAAAGGCATAAATACTGTATATGATTAAAAATTAATTCATAAATGCATTGAAAACCAATTAATCTGTTCTGGAGGTCAGAAAAAAAGTAAAAAAAAGTATTATCTGTTCAAAACTATTTATAAAGTGCACTTTAAAGGCATAAATACTGTACAGGGACATGATTAAAAAAAATTTTTGTAAATGCCTTGAAAACCAGTTAATCCAATCCGGAGGTCAGAAAAAAGTAAAAAAAAAGTCTTATCTGTTCAAAAATCTTTATAACGTGCACTTTAAAGGCATAGTACTGTATAGGGACATGTTTAAAATAAATGAATTGAAAAAAAAAATTAATCCGTATTGCAAAAAAAAAATCGTAAATGTATTGAAATCTAATTAATCCGTTCTGGAAGTCAGAAAAAAGTGAAAAAAAAATATTTTTATCTGTTCAAAACTCTTTATAAAGTGCACTTTAAAGGCATAAATACTGTACAGGGACATGATTAAAAATTAATTCGTAAATGCATTGAAAACCAAGTAATCCGTTCGTATTGCGAAAAAAATTTGTAAGTGCATTGAAAACCAATTACTCCGTTCTGGAGCTCAGAAAAAAGTCAAAAGTATTATCTATTCAAAACTCTTTATAAAGTGCACTTTAAAAAAGACATAAATGCTAAATACATGATTAAAAATTAATTCGTAAATGCATTGAAAACCAATTAATCCGTTACAGAGGTCAGGAAAAAGTAAAAAAAAAGTCTTATCTGTTCAAAACTCTTTATAAAGTGCACATTAAAGGCATAAATACTGTACAGGGACATGATTAAAAAATAATTTGTAAATGCACTGAAAACCAATTAATCCGTTCGTATTGCGAAAAAAATTTGTAAATGTATTGAAAGCCAATTAATCCGTTCCGGAGCTCAGAAAAAAAGTCAAAAAAGTATTATCTGTTCAAAAACTCTTTATAAAGTGCACTTTAAAGGCATAGTACTGTATAGGGACATGATTAAAATAAATTCATTGAAAAAAAATTAATCCGTTCATATTGCGAAAAAAAATCGTAAATGTATTGAAAACCAATGAATTCGTTCCAGAAGTCAGAAAAAAGTAAAAAAGAATTCTTTTATCTGTTCAAAACTCTTTATAAAGTGCACTTTACAGGCATAAAATACTGTACAGGGGCATGATTAAAAATGAATTCGTAAATGCGCTGAAAACCAATTAATCCGTTCGTATTGCGAAAAAAATTTGTAAATGCATTGAAAACCAATTACTCCGTTCCGGAGCTCAGAAAAAAGTCAAAAAGTATTATCTATTCAAAACTCTTTATAAAGTGCACTTTAAAGGTATAAATACTGTACAGGGACATGATTAAAAAAAATTTGTAAATGCAAATGAAAACCAATTAATTTGTTTGTATTGCAAGAAAAATTTGTAAACCGAGCCATTATTTTCAATGGATGTTCATTTGTAAACCGAAAATCACGTTAACTGAGGTGTTCGTAAACCGAGCTACGCCTGTATTTTCAAGGTACAATATTTTTGTATGGATCCTCTGTTTGTCGGTTGGTTGGAGCAGCTTTGTACTGTGTCGGTGTCATTTGCAGGTGACTCGGAAGTTGGACTATCAACTGATGGAAGGTTCCCTGGAGAAGAAGCACATCCTGCAGTCAGGGGGAAGGAAGGTGAGCAGGACATGGGGAAACAATAGACATGAGAATGACAATTACTACTTCCAACCAAACAAAGGGACCAAGACAATGTATGCCCATGGAAGGATGCGCTGTGTAATACTGTGTCTTCCTCCCCACAGGCCTCTTCCCGCACCTGGGGGGTGTTTTATGCTGTGCTGGTGAGGAGAACCCTCTGCTTCTACCACGACCGCAAACATTCCACTAAGGTAAGGGCCCAACCGCCTCACCTATAACCATACATCGTCTTGTAACAGCATAAGGTTCCACAGAATCTACATGCCCATTTTAGCGACTGATTGCAAAAGATAGGACCGACCTCCAAAAAGTTCTTCAAACATAGTAACCCCCCTGGCGGTATTCCCGAGTGTAGCTCGGGGTAAAGTTTCAGCACCACAAGCGGTGACCCCCCCGAGCTACAATCGGGAATACACTGCAGTGTTGCTCCGGGATCTCTTCTGCACTTACCTTGTCCTGCGCTCCCGCGATGTCCCCCCTGCAGTGTCGCCAGCAATGTCCTCCGGCCGATTCCGGCATCTGTCTTCCGGGTTCCGTTCCCTGCGACGTCGGGACATACGGGGGATGGAACTGGCGGGAAATTTGAAAATGACAAAAAGTGACATTCACTAAATACACTAAAATCACACAGTATAACATTCCTGTATCAAACCATTTCACATACATTTTCTCCCGAGTGCTTTGTCCGGCGCCCTGCCTGCATTTTTACTGTTCTTTCTGCCTGGAAACTGAGAAACATCCATGGCGTCCAAAAAGCGTCCCTTTAGGTCAGACGCGGTTTTAGACCGGCTAGAGAACAGCGATAGTAAATCAGAACCACTTGCAGAATTGAGTGATAATGATTGGTGGGGGAAATTCCTCATCAGACACTGAAAACGATTCTGCGACTTTGCTCAGCGATGTGCGAACTTGGCGCTATATTTCAAATTTCAGTGTTTTTGGTTTGATTACATTTTTGAATTAAATGTATTATTATTATATTATTATTTTTTATGATTATTTATTATATTATAATTTATGATTTCGTGTTTCAAATTTTATCATCCCCGGGATGTTTACTAGACTCTTGTTCGGACAGATTTCAGTGAGTTATTCCTAAAAATTACAGGCCTACAATAAAAAAAAAATACATATTTCCATGCAAAAAATGTACCGCTTTGAGCACAGAAATATGGACATAATCAGACCGCTAGGGAGGTTAATAGTAAAAGGTCCGGTCCGAGCATGTAGGCCCTTTACAGAATAATCTAGAGGGGGTGACTGGGGACAAAGAGAAGGCAAGTTTATTAAATCCCTTCTTCAGCTCTGTGTATACAAAGGAGAATGGGGGAGCTCTTGTCCATAATGGGGGTGGTACTGACACAGCTCCAGATGATCCACATTGGCTCACAATTGATATGATCCAAAAATATTTAGACAGAATAAAGGTGAATAAAGCCCCTGGACTGGACGGCATACACCCACGGGGCCTTAAAGAATTGAGCTCTGTCATTTCACAGCCATTGTTTCTAATTTTTAGGGACTCTTTAATGACTGGCATAGTACCACTGGATTGGTGTAAGGCCAATGTGGGGCCAATATTTAAAAAGGGGTCAAAATCTTTACCAAGTAATTACAGACCTGTTAGTGTAACTTCTCTAGTTGGGAAGATAATGGAGAGTTTAATAAAAGATCACAGAGGTGAGTTCTTGCTGGAAAAAAATATTTTAAGCAACAGACAGCATGGATTCATGAAAGACAGAAGTTGTCAAACAAATCTGATTACTTTTTATGAGGAGTTGAGCAAAACCTTACACAGAGGGGTGGCGGTGGACGTGGTATACCTGGACAGAGGGGTGGTGGTGGACGTGGTATACTTGGACAGAGGGGTGGTGGTGGACGTGGTATACTTGGACAGAGGGGTGGTGGTGGACGTGGTATACTTGGATTTTGCAAAAGCATTTGACACAGTTCCCCACACAGAGCTAATCTGTAAGGTAAAGTCTACAGGCTACTATGTAAATGGATAGAAAACTGGCTAAAAGATGGTATTCAGAGAGTAGTGGTTAATGATTCATACTCTGAATGGTGGGAATGTATTCTCTCTTAAGAAGAGGAGATTAAGGGGGGATATGATCTCCATGTATAATACATAAGGGGGGATATGATCTCCATGTATAATACATAAGGTGGGATATGATCACCATGTATAATACATAAGGGGGGATATGATCTCCATGTATAATACATAAGGGGGGATATGATCTCCATGTATAATACATAAGGGGGATATGATCTCCATGTATAATACATAAGGGGGGATATGATCACCATGTATAATACATAAGGGGGGGATATGATCTCCATGTATAATACATAAGGGGGATATGATCACCATGTATAATACATAAGGGGGGATATGATCACCATGTATAATACATAAGGGGGGATATGATCTCCATGTATAATACATAAGGGGGGATATGATCTCCATGTATAATACATAAGGGGGGATATGATCTCCATGTATAATACATAAGGGGGGATATGATCTCCATGTATAATACATAAGGGGGGATATGATCTCCATGTATAATACATAAGGAGGATATGATCTCCATGTATAATACATAAGGGGGATATGATCTCCATGTACAATACATAAGGAGGATATGATCTCCATGTATAATACATAAGGGGGATATGATCTCCATGTATTATACATAAGGGGGGGATATGATCTCCATGTATAATACATAAGGAGGATATGATCTCCATGTATAATACATAAGGGGGGATATGATCTCCATGTATAACACATAAGGGGGGATTTGATCACCATGTATAATACATAAGAGGGGATATGATCTCCATGTATAATACATAAGGGGGGATATGATCTCCATGTATAATACATAAAGGGGGATATGATCTCCATGTACAATACATAAGGGGGGATATGATCTCCATGTATAATACATAAAGGGGGATATGATCTCCATGTATAATACATAAGGGGGGGATATGATCTCCATGTATAATACATAAGGGGGATATGATCTCCATGTATAATACATAAGGGGGGATATGATCTCCATGTACAATACATAAGGGGGGATATGATCTCCATGTATAATACATAAGGGGGATATGATCTCCATGTATAATACATAAGGGGGGATATGATCTCTATGTATAATACATAAGGGGGGATATGATCTCCATGTATAATACATAAGGGGGGATATGATCTCCATGTATAATACATAAGGGGGGATATGATCTCCATGTATAATACATAAGGGGGGATATGATCTCCATGTATAATACATAAGGGGGATATGATCTCCATGTATAATACATAAGGGGGATATGATCTCCATGTATAATACATAAGGGGGATATGATCTCCATGTATAATACATAAGGGGGATATGATCTCCATGTATAATACATAAGGGGGGATATGATCTCCATGTATAATACATAAGGGGTGATATGATCTCCATGTATAATACATAAGGGGGGATATGATCTCCATGTATAATACATAAGGGGGGATATGATCTCCATGTATAATACATAAGGGGGGGATATGATCTCCATGTATAATACATAAGGGGGGGTATGATCTCCATGTAGAATACATAAGGGGGGGGATATGATCTCCATGTATAATACATAAGGGGGAATATGATCTCCATGTATAAATACATCAGTGGTTCATATAGTGAACTCGGTGTAGTTATTCCCCTGAGGTCATCACAGAGGACAAGGGGGCGCTCTTTACGTCTGGAGGAAAAGAAATTTAATCTCCAAACACGGAAAGGTTTCTTCACAGTGAGAGCTGTGAGAATGTGGAATAGACTCCCTCAAGAGTTGGTTGTGGCCAGCTCAGTGGATTGCTGTAGGAAAGTCCTGGATTCTTTCTTGGATACACAGAATATAACTGGATATAACATTTATAGGGAAAGTTGATCCAGGGAATATCCGATTGCCTCTCGGGGGATCAGGAAGGAATTTGTTCCCTGCAGGAGCAAATTGGATTGTGCTTTGCTGGGGGTTTTTTGCCTTCTTCTGGATCAACTGTGGGTGTAGGATTATAACTTTGTTTTTATGGTTGAACTGGATGGACTTTTGTCTTTTTTTCAGCCAGACTAACTATGTAACTATATAAAAAAGTTGCAAGTTGTTTCTTGAGAACTTGTAAATCTATATAAAGGGGAATGTGAGGAGATGGACTTGAATCTTCTGTCAGTTAGGGAGCTCTACCACAAAGTACCCCCCCCCCAAAAAGAAGAAAAAAACAGGCAGGTGCCTCCACTGAGAAATTGATATAGTGAGCCAGCAATAAGATATAAGGTAGTCAATATGTTTTGGTGGCCCAACTATCCCCATTATTTAGAGCATGGATTATAATTGAAAAACTTGCTATAGAACTCTAAAAGTCATAAAGGCTTCTGGAATGAGTTCAGTGGTAAATAAGGAGCATTACTGGCAGGGCCGGATCTGGGGGTGTAGTGAAAAAAGTCAGGGAACATAGTGTTGACACTGTGTGAGCCACTGACAGTGTTTAATACATTATTACATATTATTATATATACATGAAACATTATTATGTATTAGATTGTCATTAGATTAGGGTGAACAGAACCTGTGTCCCCTTATCAGATATCCCTAGCATAGTCCCCCTTTACATTAGGAGACCTTATCAAAGTCCCTCTTTACATCATAACTACTCAGCAGAGTCCCCTTTTATATCACATCAGATGTCTGCACCCCTTTATCAGACTGCACCCCTTTACATCAGTGTCCCCATTAGAATGCCCCCTTACATCAGTGTCCCCATTAGAGTGCCCCCTTACATCAGTATCCCCATTAGAGTGCCCCCTTACATCAGTGTGTCCCCATTAGAGTGCCCCCTTACCTCAGTGTCCCCATCAGAGTTCCCCTTTCATAAGGTGGCCCCATCAGAGTGCCCCCTTATATAAGGTGGCCCCATCAGAGTGCCCCCTTACATCAGTGTCCCCATCAGAGTGCCCTCTTACATAAGGTGGCCCCATCAGAGTGCCCCATCAGAGTCCCCCATTCATAAGGTGGCCCCATCAGAGTGCCCCCTTTCATACAGTGAGGAACAGAAGTATTTCTACACCCTGCGATTTTGCAAGTTCTCCCACTTCTCCATCATGGAGGGGTCTGACATTCACATTGTAGGTGCATTCCCACTCTGAGAGACAGAATTAAAAAAAAATTTCAGGAAATCCCATTGTATGATTTGTAAAGAATGTATTTGTCTCGCACTGCTGAACAGAAGTATTTGAACCCCTGAGAAGATCCGTGTTAATATTTGGTACAGAAGCCTTTGTTTGCAATTACAGAGGTCAGACGTTTCCTGTAGTTCCTGACCAGGTTTGCACTGCAACAGGGATTTTGGCCGACTCCTCCACACCGATCTCCTCTAGATCTGTCAGGTTTCGGGACTGTCGCTGAGCAACACGGAGTTTCAGCTCCCTCCAAAGATGTTCTATTGGATTTAGGTCTGGAGACTGGCTAGGCCACTCCAGAACCTTGATATGCTTCTTACGGAGCCACTCCTTGGTTCTCCTGGCTGTGTGCTTCGGGTCGTTGTCATGTTGGAAGACCCAGCCACGACCCATCTTCAATGCTCTGACTGAGGGAAGGAGGTTGTTGCTCAAAATCTCACAATAAATGGCCCCATTCATCCTCTCCTTAATACAGTGCAGTCATCCTGTCCCCTTCAAAGAAAAGCACCCCCAAAGCATGATGTTACCACCCCCATGCTTCACAGTAGGGATGGTGTTCTTGGGATGCAACTCATCCTTCTTTTTCCTCCAAACACGATGAGTGAAGTTTAGACCTAAAAAGTTCTACTTTGGTCTCATCTGACCACATGACTTTCTCCCATGCCTCCTCTGGATCATCCAGATGGTCATTGGCAAACTTCAGACGGGCCTGGACATGTGATGACTTGAGCAGGGGAACCTTCCATGCAATGCATGATTTGAAACCGTGACGGCGTAGTGTTCTACCGACAGTGACCTTTGAAACTGTGGCCCCAGCTCTCTTCATGTCATTGACCAGCTCCTCCCTTGTAGTTCTGGGCTGATTCCTCACCTTTCTTATCATCAGTGATACCCCACGAGGTGAGATCTTGCATGGAGCCCCAGTGCCAGGGAGACTGACAGTCGTCTTTAGCCTCTTCCATTTTTTAACAATTGCTCCAACAGTTGATCTATTGTCACCAAGCTGCTTGGCAATTGCCCTGTAGCCCTTTCCAGCCTTGTGGAGGTCCACAATTTTGTCTCTGGTGTCTTTTGACAGCTCTTTGTCTTGCCCATGGTAGTAGTTGGTGTCTGACTGACTGTGGGGTGGACAGGTGTCTTTAAAGAGCTCAGACAGGTGCTACTAAGTTAGATTAATGAGTGGAGTAGAGGTAGACTTTTTAAAGGCGCAGTAACAGGTCTTTGAGAGCCAGAATTCTTGCTGTTTCTTAGGTGTTCAAATACTTCTGTTCAGCAGTGCGAGACAAATACATTCTTTACAAATCATACAATGGGATTTCCTGAATGTTTTTTTAAATTCTGTCTCTCAGAGTGGGAATGCCCCTACAATGTGAATGTCAGACCCTCCATGATTTCTAAGTGGGAGAACTTGCAAAATCGCAGGGGGTTCAAATACTTCTGTTCCTCACTGTATATATATATATACTGTATGTTGAAATGCGTTTTTATTACAAAATATATGAAAAATGTTTTTAAAAATACATTTGCAAATATATATTCTTCAGATTTGTTTTTTTAAAGACATATACTTCAAATACTTCTGTTCCTCACTGTAAAGTGACCCCATCAGAGTGCCCCTTTACATGGATTATCCCCATCAGAGTGCCCCCTTACATCAACTGTCATCATCAGACTGGCTCCTGGATAAGTGAATGCACTCTCAGAGACTTTGGGGGGTACAGCCCACCACAGCACCCTCCTAGATGAGCAGGAGCTTCCAAGCCCTGAGGCCCTGAGGAAGAGGGGTTGTTTGGCCTCTGAAACACGTTCGATACCTTTTATCTTCCTGTAGTCTCATGTTTGTTGACAATAAATGATGATGGACTTTTAAGACAACTGTCTGGTGCTTATTTTGTCTATATCCGTTAAAAAAACTTAAAGCCTCCTAAAGACAGCTAAGAAACAAGCAGGGAATCACTGTGAAGCCACTTGTCAAGAGACAACTTGCAGCTATAAAAGTATTGAGATGCCGGCCTTTCCACACACATGACCTTTAATGGCCCCCCAATCTTAGTCCGTAGGGTTCAATATTGAGTTGGCCCCGACCTTTGCAGCTATAACAGCTCCAACTCTTCTGGGAAGGCCGTCCACAAGGTTTAGGAGGGTGTCTATGGGAAGGTTGGACCATTCTTCCAGAAGCACATTTGTCAGGTCAGGCACTGATGTCGGGGGAGGAGGCCTGGCTCGCAGTCTCCGCTCTAATTCATCCCAAAGGTGTTCTATGGGGTTGAGGTCAGGACTCTGTGCAGGCCAGTCAAGTTCCTCCACCCCAAACTGGCTCCTCCATGTCTTTATGGACCTTGCTTTGTGCACTGGTGGGCAGTCATGTTGGAACAGGAAGGGGCCATCCCCAAACTCTTCCCACAAAGTTGGGAGCATGAAACTGTCCAAAATGTTTTGGTATGCTGCCGCCTTAAGTGTTCCCTTCACTGAAAATAAGGGGCCAAGCCCAACCCCTGAAAAACATCCCCACACCATAATCCCCCCTCCACCAAACTGTACACTTGGCACAATGTAGTCATGCAATTACTGTTCTCCTGACAACCACCAAACCCAGACACGTCCATCGGATTGCCAGATGGAGAAGCGTGATTGGTCACTCCAGAGAACACGTCTCCGCTGCTCTAGAGTCCAGTGGCGGCTTGCTTTACACCACGGCATCTGATGCACTTGGTGATGGAAGGCTTGGATGCAGCTGCTCGGCCATGGAAACCCATTCCATGAAGTTCTCTACACACTGTTGTTGTGCTCATCTGAAGGCCACACCAAGTTTGGAGGTCTTTAGCTATTGACTCTGCAGACAGTTGGTGACTTCTGCGCACTGTGCGCTTCAGCATGCGCTGACCCCGATCTGTCATGTGACGTGGCCTACCACTTGGTGGCTGAGTGGCTGTTGTTCCCAGTTGCTTCTACTTTGTTATATTCCCACTAACAGTTGAGCGTGGAATACAGTATATACAGTGAAGGAAATATTTTTGGCAATATTGTGTATGTCCATGGACTGCTTGGATGGAGAAAACTGTTAATAGCTGAAGGAAACTTCCATGCATAATGGTAACTCACCTTCCATGTCTGCCAACAGAGCCCCTTGTCTGCGCCCCCCCTTCACCTCACTGGCGCGCTCTGCACACCAGAATCAGACTACAATAAGAAGAGCAACTGCTTCCGGCTCAGGTCAGTAAAACGTCAGTCACATTTTATCATTAAATTACTTTATTGTGGGTAAATTATATCAGACTCTGTCTTGGCGAGCAATTGCAGAAAGTAGGTTTTCAGAGGGAAATAGCACACTTACTGCCAAACACAGAGCTTTGGGAAATCACTTACTGTATAGGGGCTCATTCAATAACACACTCGGTAACATCCATTGTGGTAACATCCATTGTGGTGACATCCATTGTGGTAACATCCATTGTGGTGACATCCATTGTGGTGACATCCACTGTGGTGACATCCATTGTGGTGACATCCATTGTGGTAACATCCATTGTGGTGACATCCATTGTGGTAACATCCATTGTGGTGACATCCATTGTGGTGACATCCATTGTGGTAACATCCATTGTGGTGACATCCATTGTGGTGACATCCATTGTGGTAACATCCATTGTGGTGACATCCATTGGAATCTTTACATAAATCTATTCCTTTTCTGCAGATTAAGGGATGGCTCTGAGTACCTGTTCCGGGCCCCGACTTCCGAGCTGTTGCAGGAGTGGGTGTGCAAACTCCGCCATAATTCAGGTGAGGGCCCATTGTGTAGATGTCTTATATAACATTTTGCAGGGGTTGAACGAAGGACAAACTGGGATAGAGCAGATTAGATGCCATAGTGCAAGGTTACTGGATGTTGGGGGTAATCAGGCCACCCAAAGCGATCTTTCACTTAGAGGTGGAGTCTAGTGACCAGGGGCGGACTGACCATTTGGGAACCCGGGCACTGCCCGAGGTGGAGTCTGGTGACCAGGGGCGGACTGACCATTTGGGAACCCGGGCACTGCTCGAGGGCCCAGGGTCAGTAGGGGCTCCTTTAGATGCCCCTGGTACCTTTTCATAGGCTTTTTTGGGTGTCGTTTGAGTGTGGGTGAAGACACAGGGGCCCCATGATCCCCTATTGCCCAGGGGCCCCATGAGTTGTCAGTCCACCCCTGCTGGTGACCGGAAACACCTGCTGGCACTTTATACTTCTTAAGATCTCCCTTCCTGCTTCTGGGAAGTTGCCTACGGGAAGCGAATGCTGAGAAACCATCAACAGGAAATGATGCTATCTGAAAATTCATTCAAAATCTCACAGAAACTGATAAAACAATTATACGCCCAGTGGATGAGGTGAGAGAAAAGCACATCGGGATGGCTGGGCCAGAAATGCCATTGGAAAAGCTTCTATTTATTATGAAAAGGGAAATTCTGCTCAAAAAGGTGAACGTGTCCTTTAAGGACCATAGTGTGGTTTAACTCTCCGGTGCCCACCAAACATGGAGTGGTGCATTAAATTGTTGTATATGTGGAGCAGGGTGTGAAGGTCAGTAGATCACCGTATCTTCTCTTGATCTGCAGGCGTTGAAGACACAGATCCACTCCGAGACCCGGCACTGGTGGCTGACCGCTCTCCACATCTGACATCTCGGTGAGTGAAGGATGAATACATACAGATCAGAAATAATTGTTTTCATCTCCGTTGCATTTGGCCTAAGGCAGGATTCACACCTTTGTGGTGCGTTGTAGTGCGATAATGTGCATTAAGCATGATCCTTGCAATGCACAAGTACCAGAAGGCAAAAATTGTTAACAATAACATGTGGGACCATGTTGGGTGCTGGGGAGGTGCAGTTGGGTGGCATTCAAAAGAAATGATGCCACAACCCACCGCCCCACAATTCATGTGCTGCTGAGTGTAACCACAACGCAAAACTGTGACTCCAGCTTACATCTTTTATCTGGTAAAAGCTCACAATGAGAAGTGCCGAACAAAAAAAAACAAACAGGAAATGATAAGAAATTTAGTGGGAAGAGTCCTCGAGGGCGGAGCAGTTTTTACATATTTGTTTGCCACAACTCACTGCACCACAGTTCATGTGCTGCTGAGTGTAACCACAACACAGAGCTGTGACTCCAGCCTAAACCTTTTATCTGCTAAAAAATCACAATGAGAAGAGCTAAACAAAAAAGCAATCAAAAAGTGAAAAAAAATTTGGTGGGAAAAATCCACGGGGGCGGAGCAGTTTTTACAAATTTGTTTGCCACAACTCAACGCACCACAATTAATGTGCTGCGGATTGTAACCACAGTGCAGAGCTGTGACTCTAGTCTAAATCTTTTATCTGGTAAAAGCTAACAATGAGAAGTGCCAAACAAAAAAAGCAATCAAAAAGTGAAAACAAATTTGGTGGCAAAAATCTGCGGGGGGAGGAGCAGTTTTTACAAATTTGTTTGCCACAACCCAACACACCACAGTTCATGTGCTGCTGAGTGTACAATGCAGAGCTGTGACTCCAGCCTAAATCTTTTATCTGGTAAAAGCTCACAATGAGAAGTGCTGAACAAAAAAAAGCAACCAAGAAATGATAAGGAATTTAGTGGGAAAAATCCGCGGGGGCGGAGTAGTTTTTACAAATTTGTTTGCCACAACCCACCGCACCACAGTTAATGTACTGCTGAGTATAACCACAATGCAGAGCTGTGACTCCAGCCTAAATCTTTTACCTGATAAAAGCTCACAATGAGAAGTGCCGAACAAAAACATCAATCAAAAATGATAAATTTAGTGGGAAGAATCCTCGGGGGGGGTGGAGCAGTTTTTACAAGTTTGTTGTTGTTTTCCCTTATCTTGGCACTTCATCAGTTTTTCCTGCCACTGAATATAATAGCTTAGGTCAGGTTTAGGATGAGATGAAGTATTGTTGCTGTTTTCGGTGAAGAAATATGGGTGTCTATTCTTCATAAATTGGTGACATCTACTGAACCAGGGTTGCTGAGTTAATTTAGGGTTTGTAAAACTGAGCGGTAAGAATGTCGGAAAAATCAGAAATTAGATTTCTAATGTTGAAAGAGCAATGTGGCCATTGGTGACTATATAAATATGAACTGCTAATAGCTTGGTAATAACTATGGCGCCATGGATCACCAGATATTCCTTGTAGGCACTTGGTAAAGCTGAACTTCAGTCAACTGCAATAGTTTTCCTCTAGCTTGCATCAGCTTGGAGAACATTTTTCATTAACTCAAGCAGTCACAGGATAATTTGTTTGCAATAATCTCCTTGAAAGAGCTCAGTCTCCTTAATATCCTACTTGTAAGACCGGTGGGCACTATGCTGTCTCCTTGAGCGAGACCATGACCCTTCTGTAGTTTATGCCTATCAGCGTGATGACTCCACCAATCTCTGATGCGGGAGGTCCCAGACTTTTAAGAATCCAAGTCTGTCCCTCTCACATTGCTTGACAGGTCATGTGTCCACACATCTGCCCCACCCATTCACACCAGCATGGCCTGTTAGCAGTTCTTGATGTAAATGCCCACCCAAAATCTTTCCCACCACTGTTACCAATGTCCCAACCCAACATGGGACTTGTTCTGTCTCTCCAATCTAAGCATTGAACGTGTGATCTCTGTAACTTACAGTTGTGATGAGATAGCGATAACTCCGATCTTAGTTGAATAACAGAGGCAGTGACTCAATCGGAAGACATCTTGTAGATCTTGTGATGTTTATTCCATAAACTGAGATAATCTTACAACAATGAACATCTGATAGGTCAAAAGATCATAATGAGATCTGCTCCATGACATGAGGCTAGAAGCTGCATTTCTGGGAAAGGGGGTGGGCTATCTATACAGCAGGAACTAAACCAAAGGAAAGGGAGGAGCAGAGAAAAAATATAGAGAACACTTAAAGGCATATGACAGTTATGTGGAACATGACAGGACTTGCAGTTCAATGAGGCAGTCAAATAAAAACAGATTGTGACTTTGGGCTCCTCAGCGATCCCACTTTTACCCCTTTCCACTATTGCAATACTAATAATGATGATGTCATGGCACATGGAAAACTCAAAATTAAGAAAAAAAGGGGTAAAGAGTATTGTGGTTGGGGTAAGAGAAGTATAGAAACAATTTGACGAAGATCCTGGAGTTCAGCTCTAAAGCCCCATACATGCAATGAAAATATTGGACAAATGATCGTCCATTATTTTTTTTTGCAGGCTAGTCTCACATCGAAAGTGAAGAGGTTACTAAATTACAAAAATTCTTGTAGGACAAAAAGAAAATTCGGAAGCGGCATAATGTATTTGCATTGTAATTTTGGACAAAAACTGTACCGAATAAAGGAAAATCGCACGATCTGCAAATCATTTCAGACGAAAGCTGTGTACTAATGATAAGATTTTCACATGATTGTTTCAAACGCGGTATTTTTCGTATGATTTTCTGAACGTGTGTATTGGGCTTAAGGAAGCATTCAAAAAAGCATTAACCCCCCTGGAGGTATTCTCGAGTGTAGATCGGGGTAAAGTTTCAGCACCCCAAGCGGTAACCCCCCCCCCCCCCGAGCTACACTCGGGAATACACTGCAGCGTTGCTCCGGGATCTCTTCTTCACTTACCTTGTCCTGCGCTCCCGCTCCCGCGATGTCCCCCCTGCAGTGTCCCCTGTAATGTCCTCGGCCGATGCTGGCACCTGTCTTCCGGGTTCCGTTCCCTGCGACGTTGGGACGTACGGGGGACGGAACTGGCGGGAAATTTAAAATTGTCAAAAAGTCCACTAAATACACTATAATCACATAGTATAACATTCCTGTATCAAAACATTTCACATACATTTTGTCCCGAGTGCTTTGTCCGGCGCCCTGCCTGCATTTTTACTGTTCTTTCTGCCTGGAAACTGAGAAACGTCCATGGCGTCCAAAAAGCGTCCCTTTAGGTCAGACGCGGTTTTAGACCGCTAGAGAACAGCGATAGTAAATCAGAACCACTTGCAGAATTGAGTGATAATGATTCGTGGGGGAAATTCCTCATCAGACACTGAAAACGATTCTGCGACTTTGCTCAGCGATGTGCGAACTTGGCGCTCTATTTCACATTTCAGTGTTTTTGGTTTGATTATATTATTGAATTAAATTTATTATTATTATATTATTATTTTTTAGGATTATTTATTAAATTTCTAATTTATGATTTTGTGTTTCAAATTTTATCATCCCCGGGATGTTTACTAGACTCTTGTTCGGACAGATTTCACTGAGTTATCCTAAAAATTACAGGCCTACAATAAAAAAAAACTACATATTTCCATGCAAAAAAAAATGTACCGCTTTGAGCACAGAAATACTGACATAATCAGACCGCTAGAGAGGCTACTGTGCCACATTCACATTCATGATGTATCTCTCTTTTTCCACACTCAGAGGGCACCCCCTGAATTCCTGTATGCCAGACCTGTGTCAGCCGGTAGCAGTGAGAGTCCGAGACCCAGCAGGGCCACACCTGGAGCCATTCATTGTGCCAACTGGTGAGTAGCCATTCAAATGTCTGGCCAGCCAATCTGTATATCAGCACATGTCACACATTGACCCTCTCCACCTCCTTCTCTGTCTACAGGTGGCTGCAGAGCTGACACTCATCAGACGAGGTCTTGGGTATCAGACAACATCTTGGAGTCCGCTGATTCAGAGTTTGATGTGAGTCTGGCAGCCAGCAGGAGGCGCTCCCGCTCTTTCAGCTCAGGTGAGACCATGGCAAAATCAGCAGGTAGTGTCCGGAGCTGAGATCAGATGCCCAGAAAAGCGATAGGACCCAAAGGAAAGGATTGCACTTGAGAAGGTGGTTGGGTTGATTCATTAAAGATGTAGATGCTGTTCAATTAGCAAAGTCATTGTTAATAAATAAAGTGAAGCTGTGCTCACTTCAAATACCCAATTATATCCAAAGGAATTTTTTTAGAAAATGATAGTCTGATTGAAGTGAACACAGCTTCACCTAAACGAACATTGTCTCTACTACTTTAATAAGTAAATCAGAATGTATTCCACCTGGAAGTATAAAAAAAAACACAACATAACAGAATGAAAAGACCAAACTGTAATTCTGAAAGAACAAATACCTTTGTTAAAATGTATCTCCAGCCAAAACTTTTTATTTTTTTTCTAGTTTTGGACAGAGTGTGGAAGGGTTAGATCCCATGACCAATTTGTTTGCCTTCTGACACTTGAGATTTCCTCTTACCTTCTGTCCTAGTAACAATGTATCACAGGATAGAAAGAAGGAAAGGAGGAGTGAGAGAAAGGAAGGAAATAATCATAATAATAGAAATGTAAGGAAGAAAGGGGTGGAATAGGAAGTAAAGGTAAATAATGATAGACAAGGAGGAATGAAGAGCAAGGAATGAAGCATGAAAAAAGCAGAGAAAGAAGAGTAACAGAGGAATAAAAGTGAAAAAGGGGGGAAAAAAGAGTGAGAATAGCAGAAAAAATAAGATAAAGAGTGTGAAAGGAAGAAAGAAGAGAAGCAGGAAAGAGTAAGGATAGAAAAGTGAGAAAGGAAGGAAGAGAGAGAGAAGAAAGAAAGAAAGAGAGAGAGAGGAAGTGAGAGAGAGAGAGGGGGGGGGGAGGAAGCAAGAAAGAGAGAGAGGAAGCATAAAAGAGAGAGAGAGGAAGAAAGAAAGAGAGAGAGAAAGCAAGCAAGAAAGAAAGAGACAAGAGAAGCAAGAAAGAAAGAGAGAGAGGACGTAAGACAGAAAGAAAGTAAGAGAGGAAGCAAGAAAAAAAGAGAGAGCAATAGAAAGCAAGCAAGAAAGAAAGAGAGGGAGGAAGTAAGCAAGAAAGAAAGAGAGTGGAAACAAGAAAGAAAGAGAGGAAGCCAGAAAGAAAGAAAGAGAGAGAGAGAGGAAGCAAGCAAGAAAGAGGAGGAAGTAAGCAAGAAAAAAAGGAGAGGAAGCAAGAAAGAAAGAAAGAGAGGCAGGAAGTAAGCAAGAAAGAAAGATAGAGAGGAAGCAAGAAAGAGAGAAAGAGGGGAAGCAAGAGTGCAAGGAAGGTCAAGAGAGCAAGGGATGGAGGAAAGATAGAGACATGAAAGAGTAAGGATAGAAGAACAAAAGAGGGAAAAAAATGAGTGGAAGAAAAGAAGAAGATAGAGTTAGAAAGAAAGGAAGAGTTAGAGAGGAAGAAAGAGTGATACCAAGGACAGGAGAGTGAGAGAGGGAAAAGGAATAGACGCAGGAAAGATAAAGGATAAAAACGTGAGGGAAGAAGAAAGAATGAGGGAGAACAAAAGAGTGAGAAAGAAAAATGAAAAATGGGTGAAGGGCAGGAGAGTGGGAGAGGAAGTAAGAGTAAGATAAAGAGGATAAAAGATTGGGAGTGGAAGGATAGAAGATGATAGAAGATGATAGAAGGATAGAAGATGATAGAAGGATAGAAGATGATAAAAAGATAGAAGATGATAGAAGGATAGAAGATGATAGAAGGATAGAAGATGATAAAAGGATAGAAGATGATAAAAGGATAGAATGATAGAAAGATAGAAGAATAGAAGATAGAAGATGATAAAAGGATAGAAGATGATATAGAAGGATAGAAGATGATAGAAGGATAGAAGATGATAGAAGGATAGAAGATGAGAAGGATAGAAGATGATAGAAGGATAAGATGATAGAAGGATAGAAGGATAGAAGATGATAGAAGGATAAGAAGGATAGAAGAGGATAGAAGATGAAGATAGAAGATGATAGAAGATGATAGAAGATAGAAGATGATAGAAGGATAGAAGATGATAGAAAGATAGAAGATGATAGAAAGATAGAAGATGATAGAAGATAGAAGGATAGAAGAATAGAAGGATAGAAGATGATAGAAGGATAGAAGATGATAGAATAGAAGATGATAGAAGATAGAAGATGATAGAAGGATAGAAGATGATAGAAAGATAGAAGATGATAGAAGATAGAAGGATAGAAGATAGAAGATATAGAAGGATAGAAGATGATAGAAGGATAGAAGATGATAGAAGATGATAGAAGATGATAGAAGATGATAGAAGATGATAGAAGATAGAAGAGAGAAGATAGAGAAGATGATAGAAGGATAGAAGATATAGAAGATGATAGAAAAGATAGAAGATGATAGAAGGATAGAAGATGATAGAAGATAGAAGATGATAGAAGATGATAGAAGATGATAGAAGATGATAGAAGGATAGAAGATGAAGATAGAAATGATAGAAGGATAGAAGATGATAGAAGAAGGATAGAAGATGATAGAAGGATAGAAGATGATAGAAGATGATAGAAGGATAGAAGATGATAGAAGATAGAAGATGATAGAAGATGATAGAAGATGATAGAAGATGATAGAAGATGATAGAAGGATAGAAGATGATAGAAGATGATAGAAGGATAGAAGATAGAAGGATAGAAGATGATAGAAGGATAGAAGATGATAGAAGATGATAGAAGATGATAGAAGATGATAGAAGATGATAGAAGGATAGAAGATGATAGAAGGATAGAGGAGTGAGAAGGAAAGAAAGCAAATAAGGATAAAAGAGAGAGGAGAAAAATTTAGGTAGGGAGGAAAAAAGCGTATTATAGAAGAGTGAGAAAGAAAGAGGGAGAAAGGACAGGAGAGTGATGAGGGAAGAAAGAGTTAAAAACAAGACAGTAACAGATGTATGTAAAAAACTTTTCAATATAAACTCATTGAATAAAAAAAAAAGGAAGAAAAGAGAGATGCAGGAATGGTAAGGATAGAAGAGTGACATAGAAAGGAAGGAAAGTTACAGAGGAAGGATAGATAGAAAAACAGAAACGCATGGATAGAAAAGATAGAGGAATTTAGAATCATTCCTGGGATAGCACTGTCCTGTTACATTGTCTACATCTAGTTGTGGAATTATACGGAAACAGGGTCGTGGATAAAGGGGGTCTTCCTGTACAGGGTCCAGGCCAGCAGGGGGGTATAGGCAGTTGGGTGAATCAGATGTGGGCAGATAGATGATTGGCATGGCGGGGGGGGGGGGGGGGGGGTCACTGGAACCGATCCCCTGTGTGGCTCTCTCTGCAGCAGCTGAATGCTGTCTTCTTCTCCTCTCCCTACCACTGCCTTTCTTCTGCTGCAGAGAGAGCCATATAGGAAATGGGTTCCAGTAATTGCCCCCCCTTCACCCTCCCCACCGCACCCATCACCCTCCCTGTGCACCGTGCGTTTCTCCCTGCTGCCCAGGCCCCCCTGTGTACCCTCACACCCCCTGCAGTGCTACCAGCTTCACTCTTCTCCTTCGCACACAATAGGATCCTTCAGAATGGAGAGTGGGGGAAGGGTCCGGTAAATATGTCACATTTACCAGCCCCTTCCTTTCCTGAATGAACACGGTGAGGGATCTGTACAGATCCCTCACTGTGTTCATAACTGAAGCATTGTAGACTGTTTTTTTTATAGGGGGTGGGGCCTGTCAGGTTGGCTGTATGGGCCCCGTGGTTTCTAACAGCAGCCCTGTGTGGAATTACAGCTATTTTTCCTTCCACACTGTCCACTCTCTTTATATTGGGACTGGGAATAGGAATGAATTTCCTAGTTTCAGTAACCTTCAGAAAATGTTCTCATTGGTTGAATGATTTTGCATGTGACACTCTCTTCTTCTTTTACAGTCATGTACCAGAAGATGACCTCGTTTTCCAGCCCCTCGGAGACATCACCCAGCTACTCCGTCACCCTGTACATTGATGAACCACTCACCCCACGCACGCGCTGCCACTCCTTTGCCTCCTCCCACATAAGAAACAGCAGCTCCGATCTGAAGTTGCGGAATAAATCAGTGTTCCGGAAGTTGTTCTGGAAAAAAGAATAAGCAGCGTTCCTCATGGGCGGCACCCTTGGATCTTAGATTGCCGCCCTGTGGTGTGTGTAGGAGACATGTGGCCCTGAGAGGTGGACAGCGATCACAAGACTTGATTTGCTTTGCTGGCCTTAGCAGTTGAACAACAGGTGGAACATGGAATGTCGGATCACAAACATGAAATTTTATTGATCGATGAAAGTGATGAAGAACTGTCAACAAAGTGACATTAAATATATTTTATGTTTCTTTTATACCGGAAATGCCACTTAGAGTGAAAGGAAGGGCAAGTGAAAAAAGGAATGACTTGGAGGCGTATCAGCACCCCCTGTGGGAGGATCTGGAGAACTACAGCAGCAACTGAACACCATCACCCCAGCGCTGAGCGAATATTATTATTTTGACTATTTATTTCTAGTTTGTAGCTTCTCTGGGACCTTATTTATCATTTTATTTTTATTATTCTGAAATATATCATGTTGTCGTGTTACAAGCAAGACTCTAGAACAATTCTCATCAATGAAAAAAAAAGTTTTCAGGATTTTGTTTCTTCTTTAACCACTTCCAGTCCGGACACTTTTACCCCCTTCCAGTCCAGGCCAATTTGCAGCTTTCAGCGCTGTCACACTTTGAATGACAATTGCGCGGTCATGCAACACTGTACCCATATGAATTTTTTAGCATTTATTTGAGACAGATAAAGTTTTATTTTGGTGGTATTTATTCACCATTGGGATTTATTTTTTTTGCTATGTAAATGAAAAAGTCCAAAAATTTTGAAAAAAAGTGTTTTTCTTATAAAATTTTGCAAATAAATAATATTTCATCATAAATCTTTGCCAAAATGTATTCTGTTATCTTTTTAGTAAAAAAAAAAATAACCCAAATTAGTATATAACCAAAAATTATAATTTTAAAAAAAATTAATTTTTTTTAATTTTTTATATTATTATTTATGTTTTTTTTTTTACATACTGTCACCCTAGCAGTACAGTGTCACCATGGTGACTTTGTACTACTTGTGGGGGGTGATGAAGATTTTTTTTTTTTTTTTCTACACTGCTTGCTTTTACACCCATAAAGGCTGTAAAAGCAATCATTTCTTCTTCTCTCTGGCTGCATTCTTGCAGCCATTGAGAACTACTGTGTGAGCTGTGATTAGTCACAGCTTGTCACATGGTACAAGGCTGTTGTGAATAGCCCTGTACCATGTGACCTCTGTGATCATTCACAGATTTCACATGTAGTAAGCAATGATGTCAGAAGTTAATAAAAAGCCCCAGCTAATAAAAAGCACTGACACTGTACTAATGACACTGGGCAGGAAGGGGTTATCATCTGGGGCGATCAAAGGGTTAACTGTGTGCTGTGCTTTACTGTGTAAGAACGCTGCTTTGTATGGCTCTGCTATGCAAAAAGCCATACAAAGCAGCATGCTGGTGCTGACAGGGGAGAGATCTGTATTGTGTTCCTCGGCGATTGCCGGGTGCCTGCAGGGAATCACCGGCCGGGACCCGGTGACTGACAGCTGTAGCCGCCAATTACCCGGAAATACAAAATCACTTATATATACGTGATTTTGCACAGCCTTGCCGCCCTGTAGCAGTTGTTCTGTATGGGGTGGTCGAGGAGCGGTTAAATTGATGTGATCGCCGGTTCAATTGTGAATTGTGAAGATTTTAGCTGCTCTTTTCTCATGACGATTTCTGAAAAAGAAAAGCAGCGTTCATACTCACCACCTGAGCATTCTCAGCGCTGCAATGAGGAAATCAGCATTATCCACAGACTACCCCTTCAACACTGAACCTCCTGTATTGGGGGTGCAATAAACGCGAAACAATTCTTGTAAAATCATCCAGCCAATCACAGCTTGACATATCTGGGGGTCATTCCATACCTTCACGCAGTAACGGACCGCTGGTACCAAGCTCAGGGCAGGGGTAGATGACTGCACCCAATCTCCCGCTCCTAAGTCATGCTGCCTTGTGCCCATTCTGTGCCTCCTTTGCTCCGGCTGGCATGGAGTGCGCGCTGCACATGCGTGGCCCGTTGCTTGATTTCTAGCAACAAAAGGTAGTTGCAGCTGCGCAGTGTTTTTTTTTTTTGCCCTGGGCCAACAGTGGGCACGTTGGAGCACAGCAGGGTCATGGATAAGGGGGCACCACCTGTCCTCCTGTACAGAACCTGAATCGGATGTGGGCAGAAAGGGTGAGCAGGGCAATTACTGGAACCAACCCCTGTATGGCTTTCTCTGCAGCAGCTTAAAGCTGGCTTCTCCCCCCCACTGGGAGGGGGGAATGGGTGGGATTTGTGCTGGGAGGGGGGGATTGGGTGGGATTTGTGCTAGGAGGAGGGATTATGGGGAATTTGTGCTGGGAGGGGGAATGGGGAGGGGTGTTTGAGGGAGAATATTTGTGCTAGGATGGAACCAGAGTGATGGGAAGAGAAGAGTATGGAGAAGGAAAGGAACTGCTCATGATCCTAAGCATACCACCTCATCAGTGAAGCATGGTGGTGGTAGAGTCATGGCGTGGGCATGTATGGCTGCCAATGGAACTGCTTCTCTTGTATTTATTGATGATGTGACTGCTGACAGAAGCAGCCGGATGAATGAAGTGTTTCGGGAATATTATCTGCTCATATTCAGCCAAATGCTTCACAACTCATTGGACGCTTCACAGTGCAGATGGACAATGACCCAAAGCAGACTGCAAAAGCAACCAAAGAGTTTTTTAAGGGAAAGAAGTGGAATGTTCTGCAATGGCCAAGTCAATCACCTGACCTGAATCCGATTGAGCATTTCACTTGCTGCAGACAAAACTGAAGGGAAAATGCCCCAAGAACAAGCAGGAACTGAAGACAGTTGCAGTAGAGGCCTGGCAGAGCATCACCAGGGATGAAACCCAGCGTCTGGGGATGTCTATGCGTTCCAGACTTCAGGCTGTAATTGACTGCAAAGGATTTGCAACCAAGTATTAAAAAGTGAAAGTTTGATTTAGGATTATTATGCTGTCCCATTACTTTTGGTCCCTTAACAAGTGGGAGGCACATATGCAAACTGTTGTAATTCCTACACCGTTCACCTGATTTGGATGTAAATACCCTCAAATTAAAGCTGACAGTCTGCAGTTAAAGCACATCTTGTTTGTTTCATTTCAAATCCATTGTGGTGGTGTATAGAGCCAAAAATGTTAGAATTGTGTCCATGTCCCAATATTTATGGACCTGACTGTATTTATGGACCTAACTGTGTATATGTATATATATATATATATATATATATATATATATATATATATATATATATATAGAGAGAGAGAGAGAGAGTTTATATATATATATATATATATATATACTGTATGTGTGTGTGTAATATATATATATATATATATATATATATATATATATATATATAAAAAAACTTTAAATGCCTTCAAATGGAATCTATGGTATTTTTTACATTTATGTGATTTTTAATGTAAACATTCTATCAATGCGTGCCGCTGTTTATATATCGTCTTCCTACTGTACGTATAGATTGCCAAAATATACTGTATATATATATCTACACTGTGACTTGTAGGCTTTGTCTCTGGCTCTGGCATAGTGCTGTACAATGACTGTGATCTCTCAGTCTCCTCAAACCTGCTGAAAATAACAGAATACCTATGTAGCAGTTGTTTAGTGGAGCTGACTGTACTGCCTAATGTACAGTTTGCTGCTACAAGGAGAACCAACATCACTAAATAAATTAGAATGCAAGCATCATGGAACAGCAAATGCTTAGAATTGTGAAAGCTAGAATACAAAAGTGACTTTTTGGTAAGTGTTGCAACAATAATTCTGTGCAGATTTTTTTCTGTAATAATATACACAGATAGACCACACCCATCATAACCCGTCGAGGCATAGACTCCACTAGACCTCTGAAGGTACGCTGTGGTATCTGGCACCAAGCCTTCTGTAGCAGATCCTTTAAATCCTGTAAGTTGTGAGGTGGGGTCTCCATGGATTGGACTTGTTTTCCAGCACATCTCATAGATGCTCAATTGGACTCAGATCTGGAGAATTTGGAGGCCAAGTCAAAACCTCAAACTCATTGTGTTCCTCAAACCATTCTTGAAATCATCAGACCAGGCCACCTTCTTCCATTGCTCTGTGGTCCAGTTCTGATGCTCACGTGCCCATTGTAGGCTCTTTTGGCTGTGGACACGGGTCAGCATGGGTACCCTGAATGGTCTACGTCTACACAGCCCAATACACAACAAATTAAGATGCTCTGTGTGTTCTGACACCTTTTTATCAGAACCAGCATAAACGTTTTCAGCAATATGAGCTTTTCTATTGGATTGGACTACGCAGGCCAGCCTTCTCTCCTCACATTCATCAGTGAGCCTTGGCCACCCATGACCCTGTTGCTGGGAGGAGCCCTAGTGCACTTGGGGCATGGGAGCCAAGCAACCTTCACCAGCATAGATGTAACCAGCACTGGGAGCCCATGGATAGAGTAGAAGGCTGGGGAGCTCTTCTGCACCCAGAAGACACTTCATGACCCTTATGGAGGTGGGGGCTAGGGCGAAGTGCAAAACACCTTGAATTCCCTGAATGAGGCTTTTCCCCTGGAAGTCCCAGGAGAAGGGTACCTATGGAGGAGGTATCTACAGATAGTCAATTCCTGTGAGTACTAATGATGCTGGGTGGAAGGAGAGACTGCTAAAGGGAGAGCTATGCTAAGAGTGCTGCATATGCTTTCACATGTGACTACTGCGGATCGTCCACTAAAGGTGATTCACTATGCATTGTCAAATTACTCCGGAATGTATGTCGACTGTTATCCTATTGCCTAAAATACATCAGTAAATTGCAGCAATTTCATATATGTGGACATTCCTTTCTTGGGATATAAAGGTCAATGGCAGGGAATGTCATGTGGTGGCCTCTGGCATGGAGTGGGGCACAATATGGCAGGGGGGGGGTTTGACCTCAGCAGGAGGGGCAGTATTCTAGCAGGGCTGGAGCAGGGGTAGGAACCTGTGCTCTTGGTGCCAATTCTTACATGCTGTCAGCTTGTGTGGTCATTCCAGGCTCCTCATGTGTCATCTGGCTTCCTAGTTACACCTTTATGAAAAATGAGTATGCACCATTGCTATTCTTCTACCGGTTCCTTCCTGCTTTTATATACTTACTGGAGAAATAAAGACTTTGTTAGATCTCCAAAGTTTGTGGATACTGGTCAACCAGGGCAAGAAATCACACTAGCTGGAAGAAAATCTTTTAATGAAGGTAATGCATTAGCAGACTGATTGCATGAACATTGAATGGAAATCAAGCTCAGCAGAATCCAGCAACACACAGACAGGCTGATGCTATGGACCATGTAACCTAGGACTGTCTATATCTTAAAGTGGTAGCATCATTTGGTACCTCATTCTTCACAATGACTCCCCCATCTAACAGTATAAAGTTACTCCTATGGCCCTCTCCATTTTACAGCTTCTCCACTTTCAACACAAATTTCTGGACATCGCGGGCGAGAAGTTCTGGCTCCTCAAAGGCAGCAAAGTGCCCTCCGCGGGGCATAAATGTGTAGGTGACAATGTTCCGGAACTTCTCCTTTGCCCAAACCTGAGGGGAGTGGACCAGCTCACAGGGGAAAGCAGCGACACCAGTAGGCACATACACCCCGATTCTGGAATAAGATAAAAATGATAATTGACTGAGCAACTTGCACATACTTTCCTGTGAAAATGCCTACAGAAAATACCAATCTTTATTATTCCTCATTTATAAAAGTCAACTTCTCAAAAATCTGTAATTGAAATAGCAAAGAAATACAATTTACACACTACAGATAGTAAGCAGAAAGAATACTTAGAAGGGGGAGAGGACCCGCCCCTGAGGAACTTACACTTATATATTCTATACTCACTTGGTGTCTGGGGTACTGTTATAATTTCTTGGGAAATTTTCCTTGTAGAACCTCATAGAAGATGCGATTGATCCAGTGATCCAGTAGATCATCACATTGGTCAGAAGATCATCAAGAGAGAATTTCCTGAACAGAGTTAGAAACATGGTAGTGTTTGGCTACTGGTGTGTCATTGTAAGTTTTATTTAGATAAGCCATTGCTGACTAGCATCTACTGGACTGACTGAAGTTCAGCACATAGCTGCCAAGGGATCCTCTGAGCTGGAATTAGCCTTTCCCTCCAAATCTTAAGGTAACCCTGGGTAATTTTTTAGTTGACAAATATGTCAGCGGGTTGTGTTGACAGTGGGTCTATCGCAGCTATTGTCAACCAGGGTTCCTCTAGAGATTGCTAAGAGTTGTGGCTGATTGACCTTCCATTTGAAGGTACCTGCCTAGCTCCAGGACCAATGCCCCTTGACAGTGTCAGCTGCATGACATCAAAGATCTTTTTGGATATCTAAAAGTGTGACATTCTTATCAGCTGTGCAAAGAGTCATTGGGCACCAATGTTCAATGTAAGGAGTATTCTTTCCATTGAGCATCAATGTAAGGGCATTCTTTTCACTCACCACCAATGTAAGGACCATTCTTTCCCCTGAGCACCAATGTGAGGATCATTCTTTCCCCTGAGCATCAATGTAAGGGAATTATTTCCTGAACACCAAGGTAAGGGCATTCTTCTCAATAACCATCAATGTAAGGGGCATTCTTCCCACTGACCGCCAATGTAAGGAGCATTCTTCCTACTGACCACCAATGTAAGGAGCATTCTTCCCACTGACCACCAATGTAAGAAACATTTTTCCCATTGGCCACCAATGTAAGGAGCATTCTTCCCACTGATTACCAATGTAAGGAGCCTTCTTCCAACTGACGACCAATGTAAGGAGCATTCTTCCTACTGACCGCCAATGTAAGGAGCATTCTTCCCACTGACCACCAATGTAAGGAGCATTCTTCCTACTGACCATCAATGTAAGGAGCATTCTTCCCACTGACCACCAATGTAAGAGACATTTTTCCCACTGGCCACCAATGTAAGGAGCATTCTTCCCACTCACAACCAATGTAAGGAGCCTTCTTCCAACTGACGACCAATGTAAGGAGCATTCTTCCTACTGACCATCAATGTAAGAGGCATTCTTCTCACTGACGATCAATGTAAGAAACATTTTTCCCACTGACTACCAATGTAAGGAGCCTTCTTCCAACTGACAACCAATGTAAGGAGCATTCTTCCCACTGACAACCAATGTAAGGAGCATTCTTCCCACTGACTACCAATGTAAGGAGCCTTCTTCCAACTGACAACCAATGTAAGGAGCATTCTTCCCACTGGCCACCAATGTAAGGAGCATTCTTCCCACTGACAACCAATGTATAAGGAGCCTTCTTCCAACTGACGACCAATGTAAGGAGCATTCTTCCTACTGACCATCAATGTAAGAGGCATTCTTCTCACTGACGATCAATGTAAGAAACATTTTTCCCACTGACTACCAATGTAAGGAGCCTTCTTCCAACTGACAACCAATGTAAGGAGCATTCTTCCCACTGACAACCAATGTATGGAGCATTCTTCCCACTGATCACCAATGTAAGGAGCATTCTTCCTACTGACCACCAATGTAAGGATCATTCTTCCCCTGGGCATTGATGTAAAAATCATTCTTTCTCTGAGGGCCAAGGTAAGGTGTTATTCTCAATAACCATCAATATAAGGAGCATTCTTCCCCTTGACCATCAATGTAAGGGGCATTTTTCTCACTGACCATCAATGTAAGGCACAATCTTCCCGCTAAGTACCAATGTAAGGGTATTTGTCCCACTAACCTCCTATGGTTAGATTTTATCAGGGTTTTTCAGACCTGAAATTTTGTCAATGGTTCCTCTGGGGTAAAGAAGGTTAAGCAAGATTGGTCTATCGACTTGCCTGAATATGGAAATATGGTTGATTTATGCCATAAGAGTTATTTTTTTTCTGTTACAGTTTCTAAATGAAAGACCAATGAGCAGCAGACTATAAATGACAAGTTCTGGTAATGGTATGTTGTCACTCACCGGTTCAGGCCACCATCTTCTAGATCACGGAACTCTGTGTTTGTCCAAGTAGAAAATTTCTCCAGAATGTAGGCCACAAGTCCAGCTGGGGAGTCATTCAGAGCGGAACCTGTAGGAGAATAGAGCCCTGTGAGAAGCAGAAGTGGCCCCTGAAGGGGAGAGGATCAGAACTTGGCCCTGAAGGGGACATCGAAAACAGTGTCATTAGATAAACAGAATGTAGAAGAGGCATTCATGGGTCATGAGCAGAAATATTTGTCCAAACAATGTTGCAATTGACCACAGTTCAACTTTGCATGAACAATGATGGACTACAATCCATCATAACGTTTATCCTAAGCCCAGTCCGGACATATTAAAGACCAATATTAGTCTAGATGCCTCCTTTGTACCTGGCAGTGGTCAGTCCTGAACACTGCAGAGAACAATGCTCACATAATGACTGGACTGATGGGACTGGTTGGACTGATGACACCTCTAGGAAGTGGGTTCTTGACAACCTGGGCTCACAGAAAGTGGGCTGAATGACACTGGACATCAAATAACATGGAAGAGGACAGAAGTAGATCACATACACAATTAGTTAAGGACAGTACCCAGGTAAAGGTGAGTATTGCAGTGAAAGCTGCTTCTATTGTTGTAAAAAGGGACTGGCAATAGAGTGGAAAAAAAAGCTGTAAGCAGTCCTTAAAATATGTAATGGCACTTTGGTGAATAATATACAGTACCTTCAGTAGCACAACCACACCAGGAACATTTGGGCACCTTCTGAATCACTGTTAGATAAGTGTCTCCTAAATAAGAGGGCCACCAGAGAGGTGAATATACAGTAACACCTCTTCTATTATGGAGAATGGAAGGGAGGTAGAAGACATGGGAGGGGGAGTATGATACTTCCTCTATTACAGGGAATGGAGGAAGATAGGAGGGGCACCTGTAGAGGGGAGTTTATTACCTCTTCTATTACAGGGAACAAAGGAGAGGTAGGTGACATGGTAAGAGACACAGGAAATGGGAAATTAATGCCTCTTTTATTACAGAGAACAAAGGAAAGTAGGAGCCATTGGACACTGGATAGATGAGCCTAGTACCTTTTCCATTCCATTCCCAAAGAGAATGGAAAGGATGTCGGAAACATGGGACAATAGAGGGGAAAACAGCCCGGGGCCAAAAGTATTGAGAAGTAATTTATCTGCAAGGAATCGCATGCAATCACCATTGCTTTGCACAAAAAGGGATTCACAGACAAGGTTGCTGCTACTAAGATTGCATCAAAATCAGCCATTTATTGGAGCATCAAGAACTTCAAGGAGAGAGGTTCAGTTGTTGTGAAGAAGGCTTCAGGGTGCCTTAGAATATCCAGCAAGTGCCAGAACCGTCTCCTAAAGTTGGTTCATCTGCGGGATCGGGGCACCACTAGTGCAGAGCTTGCTCAGGAATGGCAGAAGGCAGGTGTGATGCATCTGTACGCACAGCAAGGCGAAGACCTTTGGAGGATGGCCTGGTGTCAAAAAGGGCAACAAAGAAGACACTTCTCCCCAACAAAAACATCCGGGACAGACTGATATTCTGCAAAAGGTACAGGGATTGGACTGCTGAGGACTGGGGAAAAGCCATTTTCTCTAATGAAAAATCTTTCCAATTGTTTGGGGTATCCAAGAAAAAATCTTGTCCGGAGAAGAAAAGGTGAGCGCTACCATCAGTCCTGTGTCAAGCCAACAGTAAAGCATCCGGAGACCATTCATGTGTGGAGTCGCTTCTCTGCCAAGCCAAGGCAGTGGGCTCACTCACAATTTTGCCTAAAAACACAGGCAGGAATAAAGAATGGTACAAAAACATCCTCCAAGAGCAACTTCTTCCAACCATCGATGAACAGTTTGGTGATGAACAATGCCTATTCCAGCATGACGGAGCACCTTGCCATAAGGCAAACGTGATAACTAGGTGGCTTGGGGAACAAAACATCTAAATTTTGGATCCATAGCCAGGAAACTCCCCAGATCTTAATCCCATTGAGAACTTGTAGTCGATCCTCAAGAGCAGGGGCGGACTGACCATTTGAGCACTGCCCGAGGGCCCGGGGTCAGTAGGGGGCCCCATGAAATGCCCATGGTACCTATTATAGCCTTTTTTTTGGGTGTGCTTTGAGTGTGGGCAAGGACACAGGGGCCCCATGTTCCCCTATTGCCCGGGGCCCTATGAGTTGTCAGTCCGCCCCTGCTCAAGAGGCTGGTGAACAAAAAAAAACCACCAATTCTGACAAACTCCAAGCATTGATAATGCAAGAATGGGCTACCATCAGTCAGGAGGTGGCCCAGAAGTGGATTGACAGCATGCCAGGGGGAATTGCAGAGGTTGCGAAAAAGAAGGGTCAACACTGCAAATATTGACTCTTTGCATAAACCTCATATCATTGTCAATAAAATCCTTTAACTCTTGTGAAATGCTTGTAATTATACTTCAGTACACCATAGTAACATCTGACAAAAAGATCTAAAAACACTGAAGCCGCAGACGTTGTAAAAATTAATATGTGTCATCCTCAAAACTTTTGGCCACGTCTGTATAATACTTCTTCTATGACAGAGAAAGAAGGGGAGGTAGGAAAGACTGGACAGCAGAAAGACTATAATTCATCTTCTGTTGCTGGAAATGAAGGTGAGGTAGGAGACACTGGAGAATGTAGTTTATTATCTTTTCTAATACAGAGAAAGGAGGGGAGGTAGGAGACATGGGGACATCAGAAAGGTGAGTATTATAGCTCATCTGTTACAGAGAACTTTGGGCTGCCTTTCTCCTAGAACATGGTAGGTTCTCTTGAAGCTAGCAGTAAAGAACAAGGTCTTTTTCTATTATTTTATTAGGACAGAGTAAAGTTTTATTTTTATAGCTTTACAGTCTCTACATAATAACCAAATATCTAGTTAAATAAACTTTAATCCAGTGGCGGACTGACAACTCATGGGGCCCCCGGCAATAAGGGATCATGGGGCCCCTGTGTCCTTGCCCAAACTCAAAAAAGCCTATGAAAAAGGTACCAGGGGCATCTCATGGGGCCCCCTACTGACCCGGGGCCCTCGGGCAGTGCCCCAGTTTCCAAATGGTCAGTCCGCCCCTGCTTCAATCTTATCTCCCTGTGAAGATAAAGACCGATAGTTCAGTCTAAAAAATCCACATTTCTGCTAGAACAGCGACACTGTTCTCAGGGATTGGGAGTGGTTATTGTGGATTTCGGCAATTCTTACCAATGGTGTCTGGTTTGGTGGCCTGTATGTGGAGGTACCCACTCTCCAGGAGAATGGCGAACACATTCTTCTCCATGTACGGATATATACGCTTGGCATCTTCCCGTGTCAGACCCACCAACCAGGGAGCAAATCGGCCAATTATCAGGGATTTCAGCCTCCCTAGTCCAGATGGGAGAATCAAAAAATTGAGGTGTAGGCCTTTCACTGACCTGGAGGAAAAATACAGATACATTATATGGTATGATTGACAGAACATTGTATGTCATTGGGACTGGACTGGTGTTTTGACAGCAATGACATTTGCCAGAAGCACTGAAGTATGTGTTAATACTCATGGATTGCTGTGACATTGGGGCGGCCCAGTGGCTAAATGGTTAGCACTTCTGCCTGGCAGTACGAGGGTTGCTGGTTCAAATCCCAACCACGGCACCACCTGCCTGGAGTTTGCATGCTCTGCCGCTGTGGGTTTCCTCTGGGTACTCCAGTTTCTTCCCATACTCCAAAGACATGCTGGTAGATTCATTGGATTCTGTCTAAACTGGCCCTAGTATGTGTATGTATGAATGAATGTGAGTTAGGGACCTTAGATTGTATGACCCTTGAGAGTTAGGGACCTTAGATTGTACACCCCTTGAGGGTTAGGGACCTTTGAGGGTTATTAGATTGTACACCCTTGAGGGTTAGGGACCTTAGATTGTATGCCCCTTGAGGGTTAGGGGACCTTAGATTGTACTCCCCTTGAGGGTTAGGGACCTTAGATTGTACGCCCCTTGAGGGTTAGGGACCTTAGATTGTACTCCCCTTGAGGTTAGGGACCTTAGATTGTACGCCCCTTGAGGGTTAGGGACCTTAGATTGTACCCCCTTGAGGGTTAGGGACCTTAGATTGTACACCCTTGAGGGTTAGGTACACCCCTTGAGGCCTTAGATTGTACACCGCTCCTTGAGGGTTAGGGACTGATGTGAATGTACAATATATATGTAAAGTACTGTGTAAATTGACAGTGCTATAGAAGTACCTGAAATAAATAAATATTCTGCATATTCTTAGCCTCAGCTATCTTCTTGGAGGCCCCGCTTATATCTGTGAACGTGAGTGTCTTTCTCTCTCTTACTGGGAGGGGAGTGGTTGGGGTATGGGGGCAATGGTAATGGAAGGCTCTCTTGGGTTGGGGGCAGGGGTGTTGTTCGTCAATGTCAGGCTCTCTCCGGGGAGGTGAATTTTGTGTTGCCTAGGGCAGCACAAAACCTAAATACACCACTGGATTGACAATGGGCTCCCACTGCTGTTTCAGCCAATGAGGAGAAAGAGTCCCCATCCAGTCGAGACTATTGTGTACATCGCTGGATCACAGGGGGCTCAGGTAAGGATTGAGGGGGGCTGAGGGGGCTCAGGTAAGGATTGAGGGGGGCTGAGGGGGGCTGCTGTACACAGAAGGTTTTTTTACCTTCAGCCTTTAGAACCGCTTTAAGATGGCACTAAATAGGAGTTAAGGGATTAGGTTGGGATAAGGGGTTAGGGATTAGGTTCTGTATTACAGTAGTACCTATATTTTCATGTTCATAAATAACTGCATCATTGGCTGTTCTGCAGGTTGATGTTTGGTGAGATAATTGCACAGGGTGCAGTGCATTTAGAGAGATGCCGAGTGTGCAATATTCCTTTTCACAACACTGGGGCTGTTCATGTAATCACAGTAACCTTTTTTTTTATCCTATCAGCTAGTGGTTTGGGATGCCTTGTATTAGTACCTACAGAACAGAAGCAGGTAAGGAACATATTTTGCAATATACAGTTAGGTCCATATATATTTGGTCACAGGCACAATTTTAGTTTTTTTCAGGTGTTTACCAAAAAACATATTCAAGCTATAGTTCTCTAATGGATATAATCTGAAAGTGCACACTCTCAGGTTTAATTTGAGGGTATGTACATCCATATTAGAGGAAGGGTTTAGGAATGACAGCTCTTACGTGTAGCCGCCCCCCCCCCCCCTTTTTTTAAGGGACCAAAAGTAATGAAATAACGAAGGAGTAGCCCACACCTGGCCATGAAACAGCTTTTGATGCAATTGTCCATTTGCTTTTGGTCCCTTGAAAAAGGGGGGATGGCTACTCGTAAGAGCTGTCATTCCTAAACCCCCAGACATCAACGTATCTGCCATTATATGCCGGTGCGGTGGTGACCTTCATACATACAAAACGGTGGTGACCTTCATACATACAAAACCTCATACTTACTCTGGCTTCATCTGAGATAGGAGAGTGGTGATTCTGCTGCCCCAATCTCCACCCTGCAGGTAAAACTGTTTAAATCCCAGTCGAAGCATCAATTTGTAGAATATCCGGGCCGCAGCAAAGGCCGTGAATCCTGTTTTATGGAGAAAACTCATTTCATGATATGAACCAACAGAGGAACCTGTGTGTAGACAGGCAACTAATACAGGCGTACCCGGTTTACGAATTTAATGCGTTCTGCGGGACTTTTCGTATAGCGAAAATTCGTAAACCAAAACGCTGTTTTCAATAGGAATGCATTGAAAACCAATTAATCCGTTCCGGAGGTCAGAAAAAAGTAAAAAAAAGGTATTTTTTCTGTTCAAAACTCTTTATAAAGTGCACTTTAAAGGCATAAATACTGTACAGGGATTATGATCAAAAATTAATTCATAAATGCATTGAAAACCAATTACATCAGTTTGTATTGCGAAAAAAAGTTGTAATTTGAGCCATTATTTTCAATGGTTTTTAATTCGTAAACCGAAAATTACGTTCGTAAACTGCGGTATGCCTGTATTCTCAGACCACCAGGCACAACTGCAGCACTTCTCTCACTACAGGGATCCCTATATTCTGAATTCTTTGCAAACCATTGCTACCAGATTCCAGGGAGCACCTCACAGGGTCACTGGGAGTGCTGTGTAATGCCTCTCTGTCTGAATCATATTCAGAATTTCAAGATACTCCATATAAAATTTAAAAATGTAATGGCAGTAGATATACTTTGAGAAAATTGGTTGACCTTACCCTAGCAGCGCTTAATTGAAGACGTAGGGTTCCTTCCATCTATGCATTGCGTCATTGTGTGTTCATTACTAAGCGGACTGACCGTTTAGAAACCCGGGCACTGCCCGAGGGCCCGGGGTCAGTAGGGAGCCCCATGAGATGCCCCTGGTACCTTTTTCATAGGCTTTTTTGAGTTTGGGCAAGGACACAGGGGCCCCATAATCCCCTATTGCCCGGGGGCCCCATGAGTTGTCAGTCCACCCCTGCTACTGAGTGTGCATTAAGGCAGCCCACTTATTTTGAATGCACACTCAGAAATGAGGATGGACCTGATCATATTATTAAAACGCAACCTAGCATATGTGTTGCTGTGTACTGCAGTGCACATGTTGCTGTAAAAGTGCATTGGGGGAAGAGGCACCACAACACAACGCACCCTGGATTACGTGTTTATTGTGATAACGCGGCAAAATTCCGATTTTATCATGCATTATCACAGCGCAGGTGTTAGTGGGACAGGGGAAATCTACAATTGGGGACACCTGTTGGCATTTTCAATGGTACCCCAATGCACCTCCACAACACACCAACGCAACCATTCTATACTCTTTATACAAAACTAAATTTAAAAAATGCCTTTAGATACATTTTATTAACCTCAAATTTGCACCCAATTATGACAAAAAAGCATGCATCATCCATTGTTCCCTGCACCCCCTTATCAACCTCTCACCTTTCTTGTGTGATGCCTCTGAGAAGCCATACCCTGGGATGGATGGACAGATGACCTCAAAGACAACATTGGGGTCCAGGCCATGCTTGCTTGGGTCTGTGAGGAGCGGAATTATGTTATAAAATTCATATATGGATCCTGGCCAGCCATGGACCATCAGCAAGGGACGAACTTTCTGCCTGGAGGACAACTGTGGGGGCTTCACATGGATAAAGTGCACCTCCAGACCTGTGGATAAAAGGATGAAATTGATGAATATAATACATGTGATTATACCTCCAGATCTGCAGGAGAAATGGTGGTTTATTATACTGGTGAATAGTACTGAAAGGACCAATCAATGGATGAAGTGCCCTTCTAGAGGTGCAGGAGGATGGACAATTTATTATATTGGTGAAAATAATACTTCTCTGTTGGATTGACCTAGCAGTGTATGAATGCACTTCCAGACCTGTGGGAGGAAGCATGAATTATTATAATGTCTGTACTGGGAAGCCCCATCAATGGATGAAGTAACCCTCCAGATGTGTGAGCGGAAGGTTGATATTGGTGAATATACTACTTCTCCACTGGATGGACCCATCAATGTATGAATGTACCTCCAGACCTGCGGGAGGAAGCATGAATTATTATAATGTCTGTACTGGGAAGCCCCATCAATGGATGAAGTACCCCTCCAGATGTGCGAGAGGAAAGTTGATATTGGTGAATATACTACTTCTCCACTGGATGGACCCATCAATGTATGAATGTACCTCCAGACCTGCGGGAGGAAGCATGAATTATTACAATGTCTGTACTGGGAAGCCCCATCAATGGATGAAGTACCTCTCCAGACCTGCTGGAGGAATGGGGGTTTATCATAGTTGTAAATAGACTTTGTCTGTACTAGGAGAATCCATCAATGGACGAAGTGTCCCTTCAGATCTATGAGAAGAATAGTGATTTGTTATATTGATGAATATGCTACATCTATGCTTGGAAGACCCATTAATGGAAGAAGTGCCCCTCCACGAGGAAGGATGGTATTGGTGAATATACTACATCAATTTTGGATGGACCCATGAATGAATGACATGTCCCACCAGATGTGCGGGAAGAAGAACAATTTATTATATTGGTGAACATACTACATCTGTGCTAGGAAAATCCATCAGTGGATGAAGTGCCCCTCCAGTTCGCAGAAGTGGGATTATATTGGTGAATATACTACTTCTGCACTAGATGGACCCATCAATGTACGAATGTACCTCCAGACTTGCTGGAGGAATAGGGTTTATTATAGTTTGTAAATAGATTTTGTCTGTGCTGGAAGGATCCATCAATGGATGACATGTCCCTTCAGATATGTGGGAGGAACAGAAATTTATTATATTGGTAAATATTCTATGTCAGTGCTGGGAACACCCATAAATGGATAAAGTGTCTATCCAGATCTGTGGGAGGAAGGATGGTATTGGTGAATACATTACTTCTTTGCTGGATGGGCCCATCAATGTACGAATGCACCACCAGACCTGCTGGAGGAATGGTGGTTTATTATAGTTGTAAAAAGACTTTGTCTGTGCTTGGAGGATCCATCAACGGATGAAGTGTGCATTCAGATCTGTGGGAGGCAGGACTGTCTTAATGCATGGGCACCCCTGGGCACTGCCCAGGGGCCCCAGGTGCATGGGGGCCCCATGATAATTTTACACTACATTGTACTTGCCAACTTTCCCAGATTTGTTGGGACAGTCATGCTTTTAACTAAGCTGTCCCAAGATGGCCGTGTCCTGGGCAGCCTCCTGGAACCTGTACTGTGCCCTCCTGATCCGTCCCGTACTGTGTCATTCTGCCTTCCCCCTGTACTGTGCCCTTTGTGTTGATTAGTCTTTGATTTATGGCATATTGTCTTATAGTTTTAAATTGATTATAATAAAAGTACTAATAAATATATGTTTACTTCTATCATCTATTTCTACTTTAATTCTTGAGAGTAGGTGTGTAAATTGGGGTAGGCTGACAGGGGCATCAGTCCATTACTTTGCCCAGGGGCCCATGATTCTATTAAGATGGCCCTAGCAGGAGGAGGATGATATTGGTGAATATATAACTTCTTTGCTGGATGGACCTATCAATGTATGAATGTACCTCCAGAACTGAGGGAGGAACAATGGTTTACCACTGTATATTGGTGATTAGACTTTGTCTGTGCTGGGAAGACGCAATGACGTGCCCCTCCAGATCTGTGGGAGGAAGGACAATTTCTGAAATTGCTAAATATTTTACTTCTCTGAAAGTGCACCGATTCTTTAAAATTTATAAACATAATAGAGAAAGTAGTTTTATGAAACTGACCCCAAACCATTACAGTGTCTCAATTTAAGCAAAATTTTAAAAAAGTTCACTATGGCCATCCAACTGTCCCATGATACCTTCAATAGTGGTCTTATAATGAGGATATCTGTTGAGGATTTTCACTTGCTTCTTCCAGTTGAACTCATTCCTCCAGTATGAAATGACTTTCTTCAGATGGGTGGAGTTGAAACCATAGTGAAATCTGGAGTCCTCCAGAGGTGAAAAGAACCGCGTGCGATCCAGACGTTCGTGAAGGTCCTGAAAAAAACAGATCAGAACTGACCGCCCTATTCTCCAACTCCCACATAGACAAAAGATAAAAAAGAACTACAATTTATTGATAAATATCTTTATACTCTGCCCCTCCTCTAAAGCTCCTCCCACCTTTGTACTTGATAGTGCTGCTGCAGATGCTCAGAGGGAAGGATGAAGTGAAGATATCGCACTCCTAAATGTTCTACAGCAGCTTACAGGACATCTACTTACAAAATTCTGTAGCTATAGTAGAACTCTTTGTTGATGACATGCACACCTGGGACATCCAATCATGCATGCTAAGGGCACCATTTTTTTAAGAGCAACTCACAGACCATATGAGTCTGTTTGTGGTGGAGTGCTTAAGCACAGGTGCTTTGTAAATCTGTACAGTACTGTGGATCTGCACTGGGGAAAAATGAACTTTCATTTGCAAAGTACCACAATGTACTGTACATCTACAGTGTGTTACCTACCATGTGTTGTGGTAAGGCGAGTCATGGTGCACATTATAATATTTCAAGGTTGAATGAGCCCTAATGCAACAACTGTATAAAGAAAATAGCCATTTGATGGTCAGATTGTCTTGGCAGGTCGAAACACAACTTGAAGTCTGGCTGGATATACAGTGCAGAAAAATAATCTCTAGTAAGCAACCACTGACATGAGATTTCAACCAAAGTTGGGCCTAGGCAAAAACAATTTAGCTGTGAAAACTCTCCCTAAAAGTTTTTCAGTTATAGGTGGAATCTGGGTTACTGCATCGCCCTTTTGGCTTTTTTGACCCTGGGGACTCCAGCAGCAAGATCTCCCTTCCATAGGTCCTGGATCAGTTCCCACCTACCTTGGTGTGTTGAATGTCCCGCCACCTTGGAATTTTGGATGTTTCTGCCCACCTCGGACTGTTGGGTGTTCCTGCCCACCTTGGTTCAATGGATTTTTCTGCCAATTATGGTCTGTTGGAGGTCCTTGCCTACTTAGGTCTGTTGGATATTCCCACCTGCCTTGGTCTGTAGGGTGTTCCTGCATGCTATGGACTGTTGTGGGTCATTGCCCACCTTGGTCTGTTTGGTGTTCCTGGACACCATGGTTTGTTGTGGGTCCTTGCCCACCTTGGTCTGTTGGATCTTCCTACTCACCTTGGTCTTTTGGGTATCCTTGCTCACCTTGATCTGTTGGATATTCCTGCCCACAATGGTGTGTTGGGTATCCTTGCCTAACTTAGTCTTTAGGATGTTCCTGCCCACCTTGGTCTGTGGATGACTGTACCTACCTTGTTCTTTTGGATATTTCATGGTCTGCTGTGGGTCCTTGCCCACCTTGGTCTGTTGGATCTTTCTACTCACCTTGGTCTATTGGTGGTCCCCATTCACCTTGATTTGTTGCCCTTGAATGTTCTCTCCTACATTGACCTGTTGGATGTTACTGCTTACCATGGAGCATGAGGATACTGAGAAGCAACACTTTGACGTACAGCTCTTGATTCATGTGCTTATTTTGGGTACTATCAGGATTGCCCACCCACTTTGAATCTGCTTCTGGTTTGTTCCCTTGGGTTCTTCCACAGCTCCCAAGTGAGACTCCCCTGGCGATCACCATTTGGAAATACGCATTTGTAGCTGATTTATATTATACATGCATCTACTCCTGAAGAAGTAAACTAGGAGTCACGAAACGCATTGAGTTTTTGGATGCAATTTTAATGTAATTATGTATTGACATCTGGATTGTATATCCAATTACGTATGAAATGCATTAATATGGATTTATTACAAATCAGCTTGTTACCATTTTATCCTCTTTTTGCAAGCAATGAGAACTTTACTCATGTAATAAAAATAAAAAATTAATTTTGGAAACTAGCTATTCGTTTGTCATGTGTGTTGTGCCTCATTTAAAGTCCCAGGACAAATAAATTGGTTGTATGCCCACACATTGATACCTCAATATCAGCTTCGGAGGCCTCGATGATGAACGGTCTAATGCTGGTGTCCTCACTCAGTAAATGGGGCCTTTCCCCTGGGCCCCACCATCCTTCTCCCAGCTCAATTGACTTCACCTTCTTGCCATGCAACTTCCAGCAGAGCAGTGCGCCCCCCACAGCAACAGCAGTGGCTGGGACCAGGAGACTGTGAGGCCAGTGAAGGTAGAGGACTTCCCTGCGAGAGAGGAGAGCATACTAAGAATTCACCATTGAAAGACAGACACACCTCATCCAAAATATCATTCTAATTTGCCTACACCCAACAGAATTGGAGAACAGAGCTTCAATTTTCTCATGCAATGAACTTAAAAGTATAAAATAAGACCTGCATTCAACAGATGAAGTACCCCTCAAGGAGGAAGGTTGATATTGGTGAATATAGTACTTCTCTACTGGATGGACCCCCATCAATGTATGAATGTACCTCCAGACCTGCTGGAGGAAGGGGGGTTTATCATAGTTGTAAGCAGACTTTGTCTGTGCTGGAAGGATTCATCAATGGATGAAGTACCCCTCCAGGAGGAAGGTTGATATTGGTGAATATAGCACTTTTCCACTGGATGGACCCATCAATGTTTAAATGTACCTCCAGACCTGCTGGAGGAAGAGGGGTTTATCAGAGTTGTAAGTAGACTTTGTGCTGGAAGGATTCATCAATGGATGAAGTACCCCTCCAGGAGGAAGGTTGATATTGGTGAATATAGTACTTCTCCACTGGATGGACCCATCAATGTATGAATGTATCTCCAGACCTGCTGGAGGAAGGGGGGTTTATCAGAGTTGTAAGCAGACTTTGTTTGTGCTGGAAGGATTCATCAATGGATGAAGTACCCCTCCAAAAGGAAGGTTGATATTGGTGAATATAGTACTTCTCTATTGGATGGACCCATCAATGTATGAATGTACCTCCAGACCTGTGTCAGGGAGCGAGGAGCCAGACATACAAGGAGGTGCAATTAAAGGTAGGTTTATTACACAGAAACAAGGCAAGAGTCTATGCAAGTCCGACAGCAACAGTGGATGACTTGGTAGGACAGAAGTTCTCCTGCCGAGGTCATCTTCCAGGATAATCAAGTTGAGAACCAGCGGGAATCGTAGCAAAAGCGGGGGTCAGAAGCCAGGAAGAATGGTCGCCAGAGCCAGGGTCAGAAGCCAGGAAGAATGGTCGCCAGAGCCGGGGTCAGAAGCCAGGAGGAGTCTTTGCCAAAGCCAAGTCGGTATCCAGGAGAGCAATGAGTTAACTGAACAGGAGCTTGCTGTTGTGCAACAGACAGGACACGAATGCAATGGACAGCTACAAACAGCAGACTTAAATGAGATAAGCCGCCACCTCCTGGGAGGAGCCGCAGAGGGCTGAAAGCATAAAGGATCCCACAATGCTTTGCAGACCTAAGATGGATGCCAGCACATAGAGCAGCACAAGCCCTGAGGAAAGGTAGGACCTTGATAACCTGCTGGAGGAAGGGGGGTTTATCAGAGTTGTAAGTAGACTTTGTCTGTGCTGGAAGGATTCATCAATGAATGAAGTGTTACGTCAGATCTGTCAGAATAGTGTTTTTTTTACATTGGTAAATATACTACATCTGTTTTGGTTGGACCCATCAATGGATAACATGTCCCACCAGATGTGCGAGAAGAAGAAGGACAATTTATTATATTGGTGAACATCTGTGCTAGGAACATCTATCAATGGATAAAGTGACCCTTCAGATCTGCAGGAGTAGGGTGATATTGGTAAATATACTACTTCTGCACTGCATGGACCCATCAATGTATGAATGTACCTCTAGACCTGCTGGAGGAATGACCTGCATGCCCATAGAATTGGCACATGGCACTGAGCTTTCTGACCCTCATGCTAATGAGCCGTTCCTCTGATCACTCCTCCTATCCACACAATGTGTACTACAGGAGAGCCTCATTGGCTTCCATCGCTGTCCAACCTTTCTCAGTCTGAGAGCTGCTCTGTAGTGGATTACAGGAAGCTGATTTGAAGTCGCATTCAGATACTTACACTAAGGAATGCAGAACTGCAATAAATCTAAGCTATGGTAATGGAGTCTCAACCCTGCCGTGGCAGAGGACAGCTCTTTTCTCCTCCTGCACTGTATAGCAGGCACAGAGGAGCCCCTGTAATAACAGACAGGAGCTTTGATTGATCCTACCTCTGTAACAGATCTTGGAATGAATGATCACTGAGTGGTCATTGGCCGGATTACTGGCAGTATTCCACCATTTCTACCACAAGGTCTGTGATTGGTTAATTATTCTCACTTCACACTTTGCACTCTGGAGAAGCAGTGGTCACTCTTCACCTACATATTGCTAAATATTAACTTTGCTGTATAGACGGCCATGTGTTGGTGTCTGCTCCGCTCTGCACGTGACAATCTCCACCAAAGTACTCGTACACTCCCTCATCGTCTCACGCCTGGACTATTGCAATTCCCTTCTCACTGGCCTACCCAAAGGAACGCTATCCCCACTCCAGTCGATCCTAAACTCAATGGCTAGACTCATTCACCTCACCAACCGCTCCACATCTGCCTCCGCCCTCTGCCAATCCCTTCATTGGCTCCCGATTGCCCAACGCATCAAATTCAAACTGCTAACTCTGGCCTACAAAGCCATTCACAATGCCGCCCCGAACTACATAACTGACTTGATACCCAAATACTACCCTACCCGTGCCCTTCGCTCCTCACAGGACCTCCTACTCTCTAGCTCCCTGATCTCCTCCTCCCACGCCCCCGATTGCAGGACTTCTCCAGGACTTCCCCCATCCTCTGGGACTCCCTACCCCAATCCATCAGACTGTCACCTACCCTCCTCACCTTCAGGCGCACCCTGAAAACCCTCCTCTTCAGGGAAGCCTACCCCAACCTCACCTAACACCCGACCTCACCTAACAACTAACCTCCTCCACTCCTCCCCACCACTCCATCCCCCACAGCCATCTCCTCCTGTACCACCTTCCCCTCCCAACTAGATTGTAAGCTCCAAGGAGCAGGGCCCTCGAACCCCTCGTGTATTGTATTGTTACTGTCTTTGTCTCATGTTCTGTCCCCCTTGCTACTGTACAGCGCTGAGCATACCCTTTGGCGCTATATAAATACTGTATAATAATAATAATGAAAAAAATTCCTCCAACACATGAGATATACACAATCAAGGTTTTATGTCGCAGGCACTCCACCCCAAAATGGAACTCCTGTCAGCAAAGCTGAAACGTTCGAACTGTGCCATTCCACCATAAATGTCCAGAGAAAAGCACAGATCTCGTATACAACCCCTAAGGTAGAACTTTTTTTAGAAAGATTGTGAAATATTCAAAGGATGGGAGAACACCCAAACCAGGGTTGGTGGAATCAAACTAGGGCAAGGAAATCTCACTGCTATGTAAAAACTATGGTTCCCAAGCTGCCATCTTCCACCTAGAACTGAAGTGTCACTTTTAGGTGAAACTGTTGCCCCCCCTGACTGGGGTCTGCAATGAAAGTTTAACCTTTATAATATTAAGTCTTCATGAGCATTTGTATTTAGTACTTACTGTGCAACACATGATACACACATGAACACATGTTGTCATTGATGGGAAAATGAATTCCAGAGTTTATCAAGACATTTTGCAGGAAAACGTACGACCATCTGTCCGCCAACTGAAGCTCCGCAGAGGATGGGTGATGCAACAGAACAATGACCCAAAGCATAGAAGTAATTCAACAAAACAATGGCTGCAACAGCACAGAATACGCCTTCTGGAGTGGCCCAGTCAGAGTCCTGACCTCAACCCCATTGAAATGCTGTGACATGACCTTAAGAGAGCGATTCACACCAGACATCCCAAGAATATTGCTACACTGAAACAGTTTTGTGAAGAGGAGTGGTCCAAAATTACTGCAGTCATTGTGCAGGTCTGATCTGCAACTACAGGAAACGTTTGGTTGAGGTTATTGCTGCCAAAGGAGGGTCAACCAGTTATTAACTCCAAAGGTTCACATACTTTTTCCTCCCTGCACTGTGAATGTTTACATGTTATGTGCAATTAAACCATGGCAACATCTAATGTTTGTGTAGTAGTATTATGTTCAGCAGACTGTGTTCTCTAATTTCTATTGTTGTGACTTAGATGACGTTCAGAGCACATTTTATGCCCAATTCATGCAAAACTCCACGTAATCCCAAGGGGTTCACTTACTTTTTCTTGCAACTGTATCTATCAATTCTTGACTTCTGTATACTAAAACTTATATCTGGAGAGTGGTGATGTCACTCCTATATAATATAATTTATATCTGAAAAGTGATGATGCCGCTTCTGTATAATATCATTTATATCTGGAGAGCGGTGATGTCATTCCTGTATATTATATCTGAAGAGTGGTGATGTCATTCCTGTATAAATATTATATCTGGAGAGCGGTGATCTCACTTCTGTATAATATATTATATCTGGAGAGCGGTGATGTCATTCCTGTATAATATATTATATCTGGAGAGTGGTGATGGCATTCCTGTATAAAATATACTATATCTGGAGTGTGGTGATGGCATTCCTGTATAATATATTATATCTGAAGAGTGGTGATGTCATTCCTGTATAATATATTTATATCTGAAGAGTGGTGATGTCATTCCTGTATAATATATTATATCTGGAGAGTGGTGATGTCATTCCTGTATATTATATATCTGAAGAGTGGTGATGTCATTCCTGTATAATATATTATATCTGGAGAGCGGTGATCTCACTTCTGTATAATATATTATATCTGGAGAGCGGTGATGTCATTCCTGTATAATATATTATATCTGGAGAGTGGTGATGGCATTCCTGTATAAATATATTATATCTGGAGAGCGGTGATGTCATTCCTGTATAATATACTATATCTGGAGTGTGGTGATGGCATTCCTGTATAATATATATATATCTGGAGAGTGGTGATGTCATTCCTGTATAATATATTATATCTGGAGAGTGGTGATGTCATTCCTGTATAATATATTATATCTGGAGAGTGGTGATGTCATTCCTGTATATAATAACTTATATCTGGAGAGCGGTGATCTCACTTCTATATAATATACTATATCTGGAGTGTGGTGATGTCATTCCTGTAT